GTAGTAGGTAGTAGGTAGTAGGTAGTAGGTAGTAGGTAGTAGGTAGTAGTAGTAGTAGTAGTAGTGGTATGCAGTATGTAGTATGTAGTATGTAGTATGCAGTATGCAGTATGCAGTAGTAGGTAGTATGTAGTAGGTAGTATGTAGTATGTAGTATGCAGTAGGTAGTAGTAGGTAGTAGTAGGTAGTAGTAGGTAGTAGGTAGTAGGTAGTAGGTAGTAGGTAGTAGGTAGTAGGTAGTAGTAGTTGTTGTTGTTGTTGTTGTTGTTGTATATGTAGTAAATGTAGTATATGTAGTACATGTGGTATGTTGTATATGTTGTATATGTTGTATATGTTGTATATGTAGTATATGTAGTATATGTAGTATATGTCGTATGTGTCGTATGTGGTATGTGGTATGTGGTATGTAGTATGTAGTATGTAGTATGTAGTAGTAGTAGTAGTAGGAGTAGCAGTAGCAGTAGCAGTAGCAGTAGCAGTAGGAGGAGTAGGAGTAGGAGTAGTAGTAGTAGCAGCAGTAGCAGTAGCAGTAGCAGTAGCAGTAGCAGTAGCAGTAGGAGGAGTAGGAGTAGTAGTAGTAGTAGTAGTCGTAGTGGTAGTAGTAGTAGTAGTAGGAGCAGCAGCAGCAGTAGCGTGCCTTTTTTGTTCTGTTGGCACTTCCAACGTGTTGTGTTTGCATCCCATGCGCTCAGGAAGTATCCTTTCTTACTCCGCCAGCTTCCCATGGAGGGCCACGTCTTTCGCGACGTCGCCTGTGGGGACCGGCACATCGTGGCGGTGACCACGGCTGGGGCCATCTACGAATGGGGCGATCGGAGGACCGAGGAAACCAGGCTGTGTGAAAACGTAGTTATCTTGCAATCCTTGATTTGGCTTGTGCTCTCAAGTTGTTTCTTTTCGATTGAGCCCTCAGCAAGCGACCTAAAGAAAGCATGTGTTTGATGTATGGTTTTATTTGGAATGATCATTTAGACCTTAGGTTGGGTTTCAACTGGAAGTTTGTTAGTCGGTGAGCCTGAAGTGGGTGCTGGTCTGGTTGATGCCTACTTAATGTTTGAAGTGGTATCAGATCAGGAGAAGCACAAGAGGAATCTTCGGGTACAGGGGATCGATGGTTCTATATTATGCTGTAGTGGATGTGGACCGTGTGCACTTGCCGAGATGACGGCCACGTGCCAGGATCCATTTGATGGTGAAATTGTATAATCTTGTTACATTATATCATTTTCAGGGCCACCCTGCAAAAACATAAGCTTTGCTTTTATTCCAAAACAGGCACCATGCTCGTTTTCTAGTGAGATCTAGTGGGCAAATCAATCAATTACCCCAAAGAAGCACTTGTAGGGTTTTAAACAAATGCTGATTAAACTAACATCCACCCTTCTTCCTTTAGTTTTTTTTCCGCACTGTTTTTTCCTCGCCACCGATCTCTTCACAGGAAAGGACCCTCAACCGCAGATTATTAGACGCAAAACAAACTGCAAGGACTGTTTTCTATGTTAGGTGGTGCAAGAGCTGATCACCAGCCAGCCGCCCGACTATGGATTCAGTGAGATTTTGTGGCCTTCACGACTTTTATTTGTAGCACGAAAGCACAAAGGACAGGTGGTCTTACAGTGGTCTCGCACAATTACAAACTACAATTTGGTTTCTTTAAGATGAGGGACTCCTACAAAATACTTAATTTTATCATGTGTTATCATGGTTTAGCACTTTTGGGGGGAGCTCTATAGGGTATACTGATTAAGCCGCCAGGGGGTCCACCGTGGTGGGGGTCCGTTCCTTTCCGCACGGCGGTCCACGGTTCCACGGTTCCTCGCCAGGAACTTTGAGCCAACGGCCATCACCCTGCCAAGCCGCTACCAGGATGGCTTGAAAGGTCGGACGTCCGGGCTTGATTGATCTCAGCTTTACCAAACCTGGCTGGTGTATATTATATACATATATATTAATATAGATATATATATATATTAATATATATATATACATATTACTACATTATATTATATTATATTATATTGTATTATATTATATTATATTATATATTATATTATATTATGTTATATTGTATATATAATATTATATGTCACTGTCACTCACAACAACTCCTTGGTCTTTGCCAAACGCTTGGGCTGGAGACAGAGTAATTACCACCTCTAGAGGATCCAAGTGTGCTAGTCGCACCGTCAGCGCCAGGTGTCCACAAGGTAGCCGCAGGCGTTCGGGGTTGGAGGGGCTTCGGGAAAGTAGAGTCGACGCCTATTTTAACAGTTGGGGGTTCATGGTGACATATGGTGACCAATTAGAAAAATTGGAATACCAGCTCAGCTGTATAAATATAAAGTATAGGATTCCTATATACATGTAGAGTTCCCTATATATATATAATTCCCGTTTGGATCCCACAGGTTTGGCTCCAACCGAACGCAACGTTTGGAACCTTCCAGAGCGGTTGCAACAAATGTCACACCCAAGCTATTCCAACCTGCTTCATGTTCACCATACACTCTCTCATGTGCCCTTAAAACCTTTGAGGGTCTTTTGTAGTCTATCCTAAGCATCATTGGACTGGACCCTCTGGGAGGGTTTTGACTGTGCAGAATGCAGAATTTTGGGTCCGAACCTTCACCTTCACCTTTGAGGATCCTTCATGCTTAGGGTAGAGAGAATATCCTTGGACATTACTTGGTTTATTGGGTACTGCAGCAACATGTCCGCACTAACATCAACTCAATGTTCTTCATGTGTTTTTTCCCGTTTGGACCGCTTCTTTGGTCCATGATGTTTTGTTGATCGGTTGGGGGGGGGCTTTCAGCCACCGGGGGGCTTCAACTTGACCCTCCAGCCACGTGTTTGGTGAAGGACTTCCACCGAACCCGGGGCGCGCCGGGCTTCCCGGCGCGCCGAAGCTGCTTTCGCCGCATAAACACTCGAATCTCCAAAATCCAAAAAGATCGATCCTACTAGCCAAAGGTTCTCCAACATATCTCCAAGTACCTCCGAAAAGAAGGTGCTTGGGGTGGTGTGCCCGGGAGGGGTGGTGAATATGATTTAGTTTGTAGGGACTAGACGCATCACTTGGGGATCAGATGAGCGGGGTCACCGGTCGCCTCGGACTCCATTGGTGGTTCAGGTGAAAGCTGTTCCTTTGCCCTCACGGTCTCTGGGGAGCTCTACTCCTGGGGTCGCCCAGACAGTGGATGCGTCCTAACCCACGAGGCCCACGAGGAAGTAGTCACGCGCCCAAGGCTAGTGCCACCAGTGCCTCGGTCGAGGTGTTGTGATGCTTGAGAAGAGCAGGCCTGCAACCAGTATAGGTGGGTTCTTTTCGGAAGATAAGCACCAATATTGGACGCATGACATGTGTTAAAACTGGTTGTCTTTCGCAAGGCAATGGACACCTGACTTTTTCTAGGCCATTTGTTGCGGACTCGGCCAAAGCATCCTTTTCCGCCGCAAGTCCTTTCAGCGAGAGAGAGAGAGCAAGGTCATTTTCCTACTGCTATAAGCTAGAAGTGCTATGTTCTTTCCAAGCCGTTCAGGTGATGTTCTTTCCCATGATCCATACATTGATATTGGGCTGAGTGGGTGGCGGAGGGTGTGTTTTTGTTCCAAGTCCACATCTTTGGTAATTCCGAATAGCTTGCGCTCCTGCACACGAAAAACCCCGCAGCAGCAATGACGGAAGCACATGGGATTTCAACAAAAGCACATCACAGATCGAGTTGCGGCGCAGACCTTTTGGTAGGCCCAGACCGATACTGATGTTCATTCCGTGCTGGTTGCCAGCATCGGCAGCTGGCTTCACCGGTCGATCCAATGCTTGTTGGGTCGATCCACATGCTCCATGGTCCTCGCACCTTTCGTGCCATGTGGCCACTGGGAGAGTACCCAAAGTGGACTGCTGCCCCACAGAATTGTATTGTTCTTGGGAGTCTATGCGAAGGGTCTAGTGTTCCTTAGGCGTTTTTGTTGAAGTTTGCCAGGGGATGGATTCACTTGGTCGATTGACAGTTCCCTGTCTTGAGAAAGTCAGAACAAGACCCAGTGACTCTGATATCCACTTGATATCACTGGATCATAAGACCTGGCTCCATGAACAATCGGCCACCGCTGCAAAGCCATGTTTGTCTTTGGTCTAGGACCTGGGAGTCCTCAAAGGTGTCATCTTCAGGAACCAGAAGCTCTCTGCCACACCACACGACACCAGTGAGGATGATGCATTTCACACACACATTCAAACCATCCTTGCGACTTAAGAACATCTCCAGCTCTCATGCTTTTCTGGGCCAAAAAAAACAAGCACCAAAATAGACTGCCGTGTTTTTCGTCTTCGGCTGAAGTCCATCCCAGGAGCTCTTCGGAGATCGCAAGGTCTTGGACCTCGCCGTGTCGAAGACTCGATGCCGCTGGGGCGGTGGTGAAGCGGAGGTGTTCCGGTGGGATCTGATCAGATGAGGCGCCAAAAATCGGACAACTAAAGCAAGAAGAACCCTCTGAGATGGGAAGGTCATGGAAGGTCTAAAATCCCATAAGTAGCCTTGAAAGTGTTCATTGGATCATTCCATATACCATGAGTCACTACCCCGGCATCCACCTGAACATCGGGGTCTTGGGGATGACCTGTGTTGTGGGATGGCCCAGTTAACCGGCCCTATACACGAAACCAAGCAACCTAAACCTCATTGCACCTCGGTCATTGCACCGCCGAGGTTTGGCCATCACCGAGAGTTGACCTGCCGCCCCGCGGAAAAAGAGAACACTCCGCCGTTGGGCCGGCGGAGCTTCGGAGCAAACGTCGGCAGACGTGGAGTTTCGGCCCGAAGCGAAGGGAGTTGGGAGGCGGAGCCCCGCCATGGAGAGTCTGACCCTTGCCATGGGTCCAAGGATTCTTGGGGTGAGTTTAATTCAACAAACTGGCTACAGACCACTTGCCATTAGGATGTTTGTTGCGGGTGTGGCTCAAGAAATGGGTGACCAGGGACCAACAGCTTGGAGTCCATGTTTCTAACAAAAAGGGTTTGACAGGGGTGTACCCCACAACCGTACCTATATTCGTTTCCCAACTTCTACCCATAGGATTCCAATCAATATTGCCATGTATCGAAGAACCATGTTCTATGTTTCATGCGTGCCGCGCCCAAGCTGAGGCTACAACTGTTAGAGCCTCTCCTCAAAGCCAGGCAGGTGGTGTGTTGTGACTTTTCGCGTGGCACACCACATGGTTCAGGAGACTGTTGGGGTCAGGCACCATGGTTCATGACTCCATGACTACCTAAGTTTGAAATGACTCGGTTACAATCACCAGCAATCTCTTCAATGCACTTCCAAAAAAAAAATATATATATATATATATATACGTATTATATAACTATTTGATCAAAACCAGGCATCGATAGCCCAGGTTAAGCCCCTGCATCACCTTTCTTTGCTAAAGACCCTCATTGATGGATATGGTAGCTCTTTGACGTTGCTCACTGTTTTGCGGTGGATATGGTAGCTCTCCGCAAGGTCCTGGTACATCAGTCATGGATGTGGCGGTTTAGTCGCCCCGTGAGTCGTAGCAGTGAGTGGAACACAGTAGTGGAACTCTTGTTTTTTCGTCGCTGGGCACGAGCGGAGTACACGATGTTTCATGCCACCGTGCAAAAAGCGTGTCAGAAACCTAGCTGGACCATGCTGGACCACCCCCTCAAGATTGATTTGCCTTGTTCCATGTCTTCGGTTTTGCTGAATCACAGGCAAATCCATTGGAGTTTCTGGCCTCGTAGACACTGTGTGAACGAAAAATCTTCCAGACCAAGCAGGAAGTGAGTATCGTCCTGCACATCAACCCCCATGGGTGGCGTCGACCCCCATGGGTGTCGTCTGAAAAGGAGAAGGGAACGGTCGAATATTCTCCTAATACCTCTTGGACCTGTAGGTTTGGTTCCACAGAGGTATTCCTTTTGGTGACAAGACCAGGTGCGCTTGCAGCTCTTGCCCCACTGCCGAAGCCGTCCTCAAAACGGGGAAACCCTCCCTCCGTCCGTAGGCGCGTGGTGGTTTTGCGCTTCGAGGGCGAGGTGGACATGGTCTCAGCGTGTGGGCCCCTGGATGGACCAGGCGTGCGGAGGAGCCGATCAAAACGACCTGGATGCCTTGGCAGCTTGAGCCATGGAGATTGAATCCATGGAAGTGAAAAGAGTTCGATGGTTTGTGGTTGACCTGTGCCCTTCCTTGGAAGGAGCATCTTAGATCCTATAAGGGTGTGGATTCTGGGCTCCGGGCACTGTGAACTCCATCCACTAACCACCTCTATATATAGCTCATGCTTGGAACACCTTTTCCTTTCAACTATGGCATAACTATGGCATGTTTCACCCGTGGTTCATCAGTATTGATAGCCTTGAAGCTCCTTGAAGATCCTTTACCAACATCAGATATTGGAAGCATGCATACAACATTCTGCTGTCTTCAAAATCCACAACAGATCTAATGATCAATGTCAATCGAAGACTTTCAAGCTTCACTGACAATCACTGACACACTCGGGAAATTGCGTACTGACTGATTGGGGTTTGCCACACACCCACCTAATTGAAAAACCAAAGAAACCAGGAGGAAGTACAAGTAAGGCGGTCTGATCATGACATATGAGTCTCAAATCCTTAAACAGGTCCAGGGCGTCCAAAGGTTTCAGAAGACTCCAGACATGCGATGACATCGGCGACGAATGCTCACATCTGCCGACCTGAATCATCCTGCAACAGCCTGAAGACCTCTACGATGGGAGAATGGCTAAAACATTGACAAAGCTGACGGTTCAGGAAGGTGATCAGCCTTCATTGCACACGGTAGGTCATGGATGCCGTGTGCTACGCTCATGATGTCCCCCGCTGAGCTACAGCAACAGGTGACCTATGATTCCAAGGTGTACACACATGCCTCCCCAAGGGGGGGCGAAGGATCAAGTAGGGCTTTGGCTTATGTGCGCGAATGCGCGCAAAAGGGACAAAAGAGAAGACATGACAAGAGGACACGTGTTGCCGATGAAAGGGAATCGGGCCACCTGTAACCTATAGTTACTAGATTGCAAGTAGAAGTGCACGTATACGCTAACGGCCGGACCGATGTGCGCGCAAAAAACAAAAGGAGTGAAATGACCGGACATGAAGGCGGAGAAGACATAAAAAGAAAGAGGAAAAGAGGTGTGTGTGTGTGTGTGTGTGTGAACCTCGCCTCGTTTGTGCAGGTGCGCGCTGCGTGTGCACCTGAGGTAGGGACTGGCCCCACCAGACCGAAAACTACGGCTGTGTGGCCTACTCCCTGCCAAAGTGGCTGGCTGCTCGGGCCACCTCAAGTCTGCTCAAGCTCCATCCACGTTGGCAGATTCGACATTTGGCGCAAGCCTGCTCCGTCCGCTGTGGACTACTCTGCTCTGGCCGGGAGAAATTGCCAAACCCCTGCTCATCAAGACCACGGAGGGCACTCTTCGGGCTCACTCCAGGCAGGCACCAGGCCACCAAATGAAAAAACTTCAGAAATGAAGGGGATGTGCAAGTACAAGGCGGTCTGATCATGACATGTGAGTCTCAAATCCTGAAAGAGGCCCGGGGCGTCCAAAGGTTTCAGAAGACTCCAGACATGCGATGAGATCGGCGACGAACGCTCACATTTGCCGACATGAATCACAACAGCCTGAAGACCTCTACGATGGGAGAATGGCTAAAACATTCACAAAACCCTTCCCATCCACCACGGTAGCTTCGTTGCACAAAGTAGGTCAAGGATGCCGTGTGCTATGCTCATGATGTTTCCTGCTGAGTTGTAATGATTTCAAGGTGTACACACACATACGTACTGAGTGCGCCAACAACCCGTGAAGGCCTGAGCGAAAAGGTTGCTTGAGTAAAGCAGGTCCAACAGGTACTAGGGTCATGCATGCAAGGTAAAATATCAAATCATCTTCCGACAGACGATCGCAAGTCTCCAAGTTCGTGTTTGCCGACCGACCTCCACCGCAGAGTGAGATGCATCTACGAACGCCACAGCCAGCATACCACTGCAGTGCAAGGAGTGCCTTCGTTGAGTGGGGACTCCCAAGACTGCGCACCACCCCTGCAAAATTTATAGAACGTTAAATGATCACATCATGCAGCGTTTTTTGATGGTTGAGTGTTGTTCGGCACGTGCGTTCTCCATCACCTTTCCATGAATCCAATGAGGTCCCTGCAACGATATTTGCGACACTGCCAAAAGGGAACCCCACTAACTTCCCTTTCAACTGTTTCTCCAAGGTCCTTGATCTTGCGGGCTTCCCGGCCTTGTCCTGCCTCAGTGGGGTGCCCAGTGAGGAAAGGCCCTTCGAGCTGTGTCGCCTGTGAGGATGTTCTTGTTTGATCTTCAGTTTTTTCAATCAAGGAACCATGGAAGATTCGGTCAGGCGACAGCGCACTGAAACCTAGTCTGAAACCTACATTGTGGGGTTTGGAATATGGCGCAATGGGTCTCCGGATAGCCTATATTGGTGAACCATGGCCATATCCAACTGTACTTCAGACTGTGAGTCCAGTGCTGGAAACAACTTGCAGGTGCCCATGCAGGAGAGCTGGCAGCGCGACTTTGTGCCTGGCACCTTTGGCACTGCCTGGGGCCCTGAAACCGAAGATTCAGCTTCATGTTTTTGGGAGATTGGAGGGACCGGGGTGCAATAGCAGGGGTGTCTATTGACCACCCCCTCCTCCATCCAGAGCATTTCGGTCATTGCTTTGTTCTGATCCAGGCCCAAACCTGTGAGGTTCCAGCTGGGCCTACTTGAGGGGACTATTTTCACAGTTGGGAAGCCTCAGCTCCGAAATCCGGATGATCTTAGGATATCCTAGGGATAAGCCCAGTTAGGGTCTACTTAAAACTTGTTCAGGGTTGGTGCACATTTCTTTGCTAACTTGCATCCCTACTTGCCCATGTTCTTTCACTACCATGACAGATCCGACGGTGGTTGCAACTGGTGTTGCACTGTCGGACAGAGATGGACAGAGCTTCCGGCTGTGGCAGCCGAGCATGTTGTGGAAGAAGGGTTTGTTGCAAGACTGTCCTTATTTTCAGAGCCAATCCACCCCTTCATCTGAGCTCAAAGCAATTAAGATCAAGGCTGATGGACACCAAGAAACGATGCTTGTGTGACCCTGGTACCTGGGCCAGCTCAGAACTGATGTTCGACACACCCTCGTTCTCCGACGAACACAGGAAGTTCTAACCAGCCGCTGCTTGGAAGACTAGTATTATAATGCATTATATATGTTTTTCCCTTTAAACCGGCTTCTCCACTTCCGTGTTGGTTGAAGAGAGGGTCACCTGTGATAGTCAGGACATGGGAGTGGAGCATTGCCCTCTTTGGGGTTCCCCAACGAAAGGCTGAAAGGACGGATCCAAAAAAGATCGATCCAATCGGGTCCTCGTGATCCTCGTCTTTGGCCGAGCCTTTCATTCATTCCATAATAGTAGGATCCTATTTACGGTCGACATCACCTCTCTTGGTCCCCTCCCTCCGAACAAACCACGCGTTCCTTCGCGTGAGCAGGGCAGCCTCAACGCTTGGCTGCAAGAGGCGGAACGGATCAGGGCGGGGCCCCGCTGATGGGGTGTTCATCCGAGCAGCCAAAAGAGTTGAACGGTGAAGCAGCAAAAGGGTGTTGGAAGCTGTTCTTAGGTCTCCGGGTGGGTCAAGACCAAAGAGGTGTTGGGCAGGGTCAAGAGCTGTCTCATCATCTCAACCAAGATTTTGGCCCAGAGGGCTTTGCTTACGACTCTCCATTGAAGAATGAACATGTCTTGTGTACAGGAGCCACACTTTGTTGCAGAGGTCGATAAATAAAGGCAGATTTGACCAAATTGAGACGCGAGTCGGGCTTGCAGATGTTTGCAGTCTACGGACCTACGCAGAGGGAGCTTCGACTACGGGGCATTCGTCAGCTCCGGATCCATACCTGATACAGCTCCGTAGAAGCCTTTGCCCGGCGTGCGGAGTCGTGGCATCAATGCCATCGTCGAGCGGATGGGCGAATCTCGCGGATGCAGCATGGCTTGCTATACGCCCGCTCAAAAGAGCTCAGTCTGACTGATGAAGAAGTAGATGAATGTAGATGGAGAATCTACCTCAAGTACTTCAAGTTGATTGTGGAATGGCTGATCCCCTGTCCAGGAGACGGTCTGACGAGTATTGGCAACTATCTTGTCAATACAATCTTGACAAAGCGCACGTGTGATGTACTCAGTTACTCCACCAAGGCAAGACTGCAGAGTTGCTGAATAAACGCGGGAAGAGATCGCAATGAGTCGTTGATGGACCATACTATATGACCATATGATATTACGCTGTTGCCCAGTTTGGTGACCATTTGGGCCAAGAATATGCTTGGTTGACCGTTGACGTGGAGCGCTCCAGCTTTGTGCCCACACTAGATGGTGGTGATTGCCGAAAGATAGCCACAGCACCTTTTGCTCACCATTGGTGGACCCCACATTGGGTTTACATTGAAATCAACCGATGGTGACCTCACCATGTTCCTGAACTTTGACATGGCCCTTGCTGATGGAGCTTTCAGCACACAAATTTGTGAACGCCTGCTTCTTAATTTGGGTCACGTCTTTCTATGTCACTTTGGGGCTCTAGGATATGTATTGGTGTCACAGTGGAGCTCATCTGGCTCTTCTTTGTTGAGTCGGCACGCAGACCTTGGTGCCTGTATCACTCGACTCTTGGATGACCACCCAAACTACTGTTTCTTCAAAAAGCGGACTCATAGTTTGACTTTGGGAAAGCGCACTACTTTTGAAATTGTGCCGGGAAGCGCGAAATGGTGTCCGGATTGCCTAAAATTGTGTCAACTTGCAGTGTGAGTTGCAACTCCAGTTTGGCCTTGGTGGCTCCAAAAGCATTATGAATCTCAGAAAGTATGAATTAAAGTTCTTGATGAAATTGATACGACCTATCACTGTTCATCCGCTGTCATGAAGAGTGAGTATAGTACAACCCTTTGGGAGGTACTTTGACAAGCTTATTTTGGTGAAGGACCAAGAGCTTCTGGACAGCTACCATCGACTCCATGCAAGGCATGGCTCCTCCAAAAAGGATTGCTAAATGGCAGGCCACAAACCGCTGGCTTTGCAGCAAGTTTGCCATTATGCTCAACTAGAAGTGTTTGTCCAAACCAAGGACTGGTGAAACCACCTGTGCTCCATGACCGCAGGAATATACCCTGTTTGGACGTGTCCACGTCCAGGGTGCGGCTTGAAACACACTTGGACACCTAGCCATTGAGGCAGACAGGTTGGACACCTAGCCATTTGTGTGAGCATTATTTTATCAGTCAGCTGAAAAAGAAGCACATGCAAATCAAACATGAAAGCGACTAAGTCAGTCCTTGCACCGCTGTAGAATGCGTTGCCATCTCCCCAATATTGAAGCATTTCCTTGCCTCTGTGACACAGCCCAACGGGCTTTGCCAAGCATTTGTGCAATGGCAGATGTCATTGATCAATCAATACCAATACTGTAAGTCTTTAACGGCTGCACAACGCATTTTCCAGATGCTTATATATCCCAGGTTTGGCCAACTGCCCAGTTGCTTCGCAGAGAGGAAGCATAAATTCATTTCAGCTTTGGCCACCAAGCTCCTTAATTGAAATTGAACTTGTTCCAAGGCCTCCCCACAAAGAAGACCAATTCCAAGCGTTTCCAAGCCAGTGCGCCTCTTGTGACCCAAGAATGTCAACAGTGGTTCTACATGGTCTTGCCTGGTCTTTTGGGCCCATGCCGCCCTGCACGTTCTGGGGTGGCAGGTGGTGGTCCAAGAGCCGGGACGTAGTTTGTGCCCGCGCCCCCACTCCCTTCTTTGTCTTTAATTTTGCTCCTGAAGTCCGGGCCCTAGAGTGAAGAGTTTGCTTAGACGTTTCTGTGCAGGGGACCACTGAGTAGTGGACCATTGAGTGAGTATGCCCAAACTTTCTTGGGGTGATTGGAATTTGTCATACTCACTCAGTGTTGATTGCAAGAATGATTGGTGATTAGTGTTGATGTGTATTGCAAACATACCACCAGTGAGTTTCGTGTTGATTAGAAGTGGTGAAAGATGAACTGGATTCATCGGTTCTACGGCTATGGCGCCGATGAACAAGGTGTTTGAGCACATACTCAATGGGCATCTTTTCGGGTGCCCAGCTGAACAAACCCACTTCTCTTCATTATGTTTTTTCCGAATGTTGTTGCGGCAAGTGCCGCTGCAGCCCTGCTGCAGCCCTGCTGCAGCCCTGCCAGGTCAGTAGCACCTCCTCGCGCGTGCCACCCTTATGGTTCGGACCTTTGAGCAAAAAAACAGTGAAGAGCAAGGTTTTTCAGCCCAGCGACCCTGGCCCGAATCCGTGGGCTTTGGAGAGCACCCCCTCAGGGCCTCGGATTGGGTGGGATGATGAGATGTTCGGCAACACCATTTCGGTGCCGTTCTTGTTTGCGTGCACTGCTCAATCAGTCCATGTGTGTATACTTTGGGAGTGTCCCATTGCCAACAGTCGGTAACACAATTATCACTCCTTTAGAGAAAGGCGAGGCCTTTATGAAAGAAATGGGAGGTAACTATTGGGAAAGGCGAGTGTCCGATTTTCCAGTCGGGCCGTAATCCCATTCAGTCACGCAGGCGTCAATGTTGCGGTGTTTGTGGCAGAAGGGTCGCCGAAGTCGCAAAATTCAAGGTCGTTCCTTCTTCAAGGTGGTTCCAGTTGCCATTCCGTTCGGGTGGTAAGCATTGGATTCACTCGCGACTCGTGGCTGTAAAGATTTGCCACGACCGATCAGTTCACTTCGGAAAAGATTGCCACGACCGTGCCTCCGCGGATAGTTCCATGGGTGACAGTGGGTGTATGTGGTGGACCAGCGATGACCAGCGTGTCGTGATGTGGATAATGTTGTTTCTTTTGATGATCGATTTGAGTAGTTGCAATTGGTCTCTTATGTGAGAAAGGGAGTTACTCGTAATTAGTGGAGCGTGAGAAAAAGAAGAGAACATGGGCTCCCATCCAACATTAAATTTCATACTCAGATTGCATTAATTAAGGTATGCCTTTCGCGGTTTGCTTCTCGGATCAATTGATAGGCCGCCCTTTCACCTTCTTCTGCTTCCGGATGTGTTTCTCGATCTTGATTTGCTTGAACGATCCTGTTTTGTCTTGTCAATGTCAATGATCTCAATGGCCTTTCCTTGTCGCGTAGTCGCAGCACGGCACGTGTTTAAAGGATTTTAAAGGTAGCTTTAGTGGTCCATGAAGACCTGAGCAAGGGTTCTTGGTCATTTTCCTGACACTGGCTTGGGATGTCAATGGTGATGCTTCCAATGAAAGGACATTTGACACTAGTATCGGTTTGATGTCGCTATTTCCACAACCTGGGATACCGAGTTCAGTGGGCGTGGCGCTGTTCTCAGCGCTGCCACCACCACCCAGCACAACAGCGGCAACGGCAACCATTGATTTCCATGCTTCACAGCAAGGCTGACAGCAGGTATAAGTTGCATTCCAGCAGGTTTTGGGTGCAATTGGCCGGGTCTTTTGTGAAACAGACTTCGAAGCAGAACGACTTCCGGCAAATGAAGCCAGGTCTGAAAGGCCCCGGTACACTTGCGTACTTCCTCACACGGTTTGGACGCCTCCTTCAATTGTTACGTTTTCATGTGGAGGCCCTTCCAATCCGAGGATGGACGTGCAGAGCAGGAGCAGGAGGTTCCGTTCCTCATTGGTTGGTTGAGCCCCTTTAGACACAACCCCTCACCTGTTTTCTGATCACCTGCAGAGACTATGGAACAGGGGTAGGGATGGATCGGGGAGCTCTTCCTTTCTGGCACCGACCAAGGTCACGCTTGGCCGCTGCGACAGAAGGCCTCGAGGTGAACGCCAAGGTGAGAAGAACGACGCCGACCTTGGGCCAGTCGCGACGGCTGACTCGACGGCTGGTAGAGTAGAGGCACTGTAAATGGTCATCCCAAGGGACCATGGAACCCACCCAAGGGGCCATGGAACCCACGGTCACTGGTGTGAAAACGCCTCTTTTTTCCCATGGAGACCCACAGCCCAAAAGCTGTTTGGTAGCTTGGGGACGGACAGGGGCGAGGCAGGGGCCGAGGGACCGGCGGTGCCGCCAGTGAATCAGTTGGGTAGGGGAACTTCACTTACAGCAACGGTCCGAGCCCAGGTCTCGCCAAAGCAATGTATATAAATGTACCGTAAACATCACATGACCTTGTAAAAACCAGATATATATATAATATAGCTTATTATTTGATACTTGTACATGTTCAAAAGCTAGGTAATTCAAGAATTCTTCACTAATCTCAGCTGAGTTCGCCAATTGATCAGTCGTCAAAATTCATTTTTGCAGCCAGGCGTTCGCCCTGATCCTTTGTGCGCAAGCCTTGTGGGGGGGCCTTTCACTTGACGGCTTTTCGCATCGGAGGACGAGTTGCGTAAATGTAGGGACGTGCCATGGTTGCATAATACTATATCATATCATTATATAGTGTTTAAACATATTTAAATATATCGTGGTGTTTGGGAATTAAAACAGGACCCACAATAAAGATAATCTGGATGCTAACTATTTTGTATGTGTTTTGCATAGGTAGTCATAAGTTGTGCAAAAGTCCGCACCCCGCACATGAAATGATTGTCTCCTTCAGATGATTATATAATTCATGGTGTTTTTGTGCAACATGCTGCCATTGCAACGATCAACACCGGAAGCACAACCTTGGATTGCCTAGAGCCCTCTATACCTAGAACCTGAGTGACCTGTAGTTTGAACCACCAGCCACCCAAAATATTGGCTTTTCCTATCAAAGCAGGGGTCATGTCTTAGGGGTTTACTTACCCTCCTCATCCCTCCTCAAGGAAGTTCTTCCTTTTCTTTTGGATTCCTTGCCTCTTTCTTGCATCCCATTCCTGCGAGTTACCTCAGAGAACGACTTCCCAGCAAGCTCAGAACAAAGAAAACCGGACTCCCATAAATTGGAGGGTCCATCCCAACCTTCCAAGAAGATGGACGGTGGGTAATGTATGGATCTACAGCCACTCGATGACACAGGTCCAGTGAGACTGTCCCAGAGGCCATGGCTGCGTCTTGGCACTTGACCATTCAATTTGATGGAAGAAACATAATGAAACTGACGTCCTAGACAAATACAAAGTTCCTTTCAGAAGGAAGGTAAGGGTTGAATAGGATAGGGCAAGATAGTAAAGCTGGCATAGGGTAGGATAGTTTTTGCCATCCTTGCTATCCCATTACTCTTCAGTTCTTTGGCTTTGTTTCGTGTCCCTACCACTTCAGAACGTCCGTTTGACCTCCTCATGAAACTGACCATCCCCGCTTTCAGCTATATAGTTGTACATTTTGTTGCTGGGTCAACCTTTTGCAACATTGAATAGTGAGTCTAGTTTAAGGCATGCAGCACCAGCATGGTCAAATTTGTACCCTGCTGCTCAATTGGCTCATTACGGTCGATTGTTGGACATGAGACATGGACATAAAAGGACTTCAGGAAATCAGTCCTTGGGATTTCTCTCGGGTGAAAACTTCAGTTGTTTGAGCAAAAGTGGATTACCAGCTGAGTGCGGGGTGGAACCAGCTGATTTGACCCACAAAGTTTGGCCGTGGCATCGCCTGTTTCATTTGGAAAACAGGCTAAACTGGTCTATTAATTTAACCAGGTTAATTTAGCTGGTTCATTTCTACCCGGTGGAAGACGCAGTCTTTCCAGAGAGAGAGAGAGAGAGAGAAAGAGAGAGAGAGACAGAGCGAGAGCGACACCAGTTTGAGTTTGTTATTGCACACAACTTCACCAGACTGCCAGACGCTGCACAACTTTGAAGATGCAGATGATGTAGGCTCCCGTGGACCACCAAGACGACCAGTGTGCTGAAGGGTTGAAGGGTTGGGGGGCCTTTAAAGGAGTGCATCTTCAAGCAAAGAGCCTTTTTGGTCCCGTTGGTCCTGGACAGGTGATGTTTGTAGCGAGTGCGTGGCGCTCACTGTGTCACTTTCCCCGCTGAGTCCGACATCCTACGCATGAGATAATCTGGGATTCTCCTTGAGGTTGAGTTACCACGAAAGGCCATAAAATTTACGAAATTGGATTCAGGCCCAAGTATTATTCTGATGGAACACCAATCGGTGTTATGACCTTCACAAAATCCCAAGCCGCCCAAGCGCATCCAGCTAAGACCAACCCAAATGACTATGAGCGAAAGCAACCTGAAATCTTAAAATTCCGCGTCCTTTGATGCTTGCGACCAAAAACACTTGAGGTCGCTGGCCGCTCCTTCTGTGAAGACCCACACCGGCCGGTGCCATGCCTGTCTGCGGGGGAGCACAGCGTGCGGACGTTGATTCGAAGGGGAGATGTCGTCCCATCCGCTGGCTTCCGCTGCACCAGTTCGTGTCACAGAAACTACGTGTAGGCTGGAAGTGCTGACTGTTTTCCAAACACCAAGCACTGTAATCTCTGACTCCTTGATTTCATGGCGCCAGAGTGGATGGTTGGATTCTTGTGGCTGGAGAAGAGTCCCGTCTGAGCAGAGCATGGAATTTCATGAATCTACGCCGTGGTCTGCTCCGTCGTGGTGGGAACAGACTTTTCCAGATCCCAATATCACCCATCCAAAGGCTCATCCAAAGGTCCAAGGGCCTTCTCTAATTAATCAGCAGATCCTCTATCCCACAGAGATTACCCAAATGATTGCCCATCATTACGCTTGGTTGACTTGCAAAAGAAGACACCAGACCAGCCCGAGTCTCCGCTGGTCCAAATCCGCTTTTTTTTCGCTTGGGAGGCAGTGTCCTTTGGACATGACTTCACCTCAGAAAGACTTCAAGCCTTGGAGGATGTTCTCCCAGCCGCTGGGAGTGGTGAGGGAGAGTTCTCCCGCGGAGCGGATTCGCAAGAAGGAGCTATGGCTATATAGGTGATTCATGGTGAATGCACGTTAGAATAGCTTGCCGTAGCTTGGATGTGTTCAAGAAGGCTTTGTGCAGGTCCTAGTCGAAAATCCGAAAGAAATCTCACAAATCCAAAGCATCAGAAGATCCAAACATACACATTGTACAAACAAAACACACAAACATATCACGACAATATCTTAAATATCAACACACAAAGTCTGAAATTGTTTTACGGACCCTGGAAACACTAACATATACACATATTTTGAACATATTCAAACAAGCATATATAAGCAAAAACATGTTGAACAAGTCTTCAAACAGCTTGGAGCAACAAACATAATAAAATAGACTTTGTCAATGTCTGGAGAACTAATTGCAAACATCACCAAACACGGTGGAACACAACTGAGGTAACATGTTAAAATAAAGTATTTGTAGGAAGTCGAGCAGACAGCGACAGGTCCTCATCTGGTTGGAATGGGGTCATGGGATTCCTGATTCCGAATTCTTGTTCATCGACCAAACATCTTGGGAATGAGAACCTTAGATCTTTCTTCAACGTTGAGTTTATTGCGCAAACTACATCCTGGAATTAGACTCGAGTGGGGATTTAAAGTGTAAGTGACATTGGATTGAACTTTTGCTGGATGTGACACCACAGTTGCTGGGAACAGCTTGAATGATGTGATTGTTTGCAATCATTATTGTTTGACGATACCATTGTTGTTTGGACCATCAACTTGTGCATTTTCGAGCGCGTTGGCAATTTTGAACGCCCTGCGGATCCACATGTTTGGACCGAACCGAAATGAAAGCACTGCATGGTCGATTTGGACCCAAACCCACTGCACATACACTCCCACTCACTAACATGGAAGCGAAAACCATTCCGTTTTTTTTCCAAAGGACATGCCATCCGCTTCCATTTTAGTAAGCCAGAGCACACGGTGTTTTTGCTTGGCCCGTGAAGGTCTTGCAGGCCGTTTAGGCCGACGGCAGCGCAGCAGCCATTTCATGACAGATGACTTGGCCAAAGAGATGGTATTTATATAGAAGGCACGGCTCCTAAGCTGGCAGTAATCATCCCAAGAATTCCCAGAACATGAGCAACTCACTGTGTATAGTGAAGTTTCCCGAAAAATCTAGGAGCCAAATCATTAGTTGGAGCGCTTCCTTGAAGAAGCATGAGCTATCCTGCGTCCATACTAGTCGCTGACTTGTAGGCACTAGCTGCCTCTTCTACTAGCTAGCGCTACTATCGGCCTACCCCCGTAAATGAAAAGAACAAAAACGCGCACAACAGTAATGAACAGTATATATAAATCACTTTTGGAAAAAATGCAATCGATGGTTGCCAGGTTTTGTGGCCTCACGTTTTCCACCGATCAGCCGTCGGCCATGGGTGGCCACGGTGGTGTTTTCGATTCATGTTGTCCGGTCCACCGTGCTCTTGCGGTTTCAAGCTGACTCTCTTCTGCAAACGAGGAGCTGTGCGCATGGTCTGGGGGATTGTCCTTCAATGTGGACGAACCAGTGATGTGCGGGACCTGGAGAGGCTTGGGAAGTAGGGACGAGACTAAGCACTGATTTCGCAGCTGATCCCGGTTTGTTTTTGCAGAATATGTTCATCGAACCATGGGAAGTACTGTACCATACTGTACCGGAAAAAAATGGATACCTGACGCTGAGAAAACACTGTTTGCCGGTGTTCATCTGTTGGGTCGATGGGAGAATTTGCTTTTTGGGTCAAGGCTGAAGCCCGCGGCCGAAGGCCTTGCGGCACACCTCTTCAGCCAGGCGAAGCATGTGTTCCCACCGCGAGTCGCACGAAGAACTGTGGGCACCGACCGGGATCTCGGGTCAAGAAGAAAGTCCGCAGAGCTGTGACCTAAGCAGTGAGAAGATCAAAACTCCCATCATTCCATCATGTGATTCATACATGGCCCGTTTTGAAACTGAGTTGGTTCATGACAAATATGTTTATATAATTGCGTTTCATCCAGACAACGCGTTTTTTGAGCATAACTTGATGCTGATATTAAACATATTACAATTACAAGATTAAACTATATTATAGATCTGCAGCCCTTTCTCCCCGAACAATATTCTGTTTTGGCCTTTTCTACTCTTTGGGCTTATGTAATACCGGTATTTTCTCCTTTTTTCGCCAGTGCCGCCAGCGCTCGGAGACTCTCCAGACTCCAGTCTCCATCGGACCCGGCCAGGTGAGCGACGATGGGCGTTTCTTCGAGCGACGGCGCTACTACGCCCAGAAGCAGGAGCGACGCAGCTACGCTGCGCCGGAGGAGGGTAGTGAACAGCGGACATCCACCGGCGGCATGTGAATGATTCATGAGATACTTAATTTGAAGCATGGTAGCTGTACCTCAAGTACCACGGGTGGCGGTTGCTGGGGACGTAGTGCTTGCTGTACCACCGGTGGTTGAGTAAATCAACGTGGGCCGCGTTTGCCTACTACCCTCACGAGTCCGCAATGCGGTGTCCGACAGCGGTGGCCACACCAACGAGTGTTCCAAAGGTCGAATTTGCAACAACACTTGTAGCGGCCTTGCTCCGTTCGTAGCCATGCCCTTTGTTACTAGTAGCGAACCTTGTTCCTAGTAGTAAGGCCAGGAGCTACTAGTAGTTTCTTGTTTTGTTCATAGCGATGCCCTTTGTAACTTATCTAAGGTGTATCTATATAAGGATGTAACTTATCTAACGTGTAACTTGTCATCAATTGGGGATGTGTATCTAAGGTGCGGGGGTATCAATTGCGTCGAGTAATGCAAGTTTCAACTTCCTGGGTTGCAAATGCTATTGTTTTTTTTTTATTATTTTTGTTGTTTATCAACGTAGGAAAAGACTTGCCCATCTACTGGTGGATAGTTAGAGCAGTTGAGATATTTGGAACCTATAGTGGTTGGGGTGGTTTTTGGACGCCTAAAAAATCCAAAAATCCTTTCAATTCCAAAAGTTCCCTTTCTAAGAGCTTGTTCCCTTCGGTTGGAAGACACCTTCTTCTCCCACCTTCTTCTTCTCACGGAGGAATTGGGCACCTGCTTCATGGAGCTGCCCAGGTTGGTCAAGTGCCTGGAAGGTGCGCTGACTTGCAAATGGGATCGAACCGAAAGGGCTATTGAAACGTGAACAAAAAAGGCACAGGGACCAGAAACCAATCAAGCAATCAACAAGCAGCACCCGCCAACAGGTCTCCTAACAGGTCTCCTTTGGTGGCTTTTGCAGATCGACTTAAAAGTCACGTGTGGGACTGTCCTGGAACAGTCATGTGAAGTGTATCTATTTCTTTTGGGCTGGATGGCAGGGTTTCAAAGCCTTGGCTTTGGACCTTAGGGTTTCAAAACCCTAACCCCTAAAAAAGCCTTGTCCACATGACGGTTGGCAGAAGCCACTGAAAAAGAACCCAGTGGCTCCACTCGTTACCGAGAGGAGATGTTTGGTATCTTCGATCGGCCGAACGGAACGGACCTTGGACTTCCTTGGACCTATTCCGACTTTGCCCTGAACCTGGTGAATCTTGTGAAGCTACGCTTGTGAACCTGCCATGCTCCATGATTGCCCGCCCTTGCTCTCCCGCCCTTGCCAACCCCCCGTATACGAACCCTATGAATCTTCAGACGACGGCGCAGCAACACTTCGAGCATGATGACACACTGTCGCCCTGGATATGAGTTTGACGGCGCGGGGCTTTTCGAAATCGGTTCATTTCAAGAGTGTTCCCGGATCCCTGGAAGCTAAAGGGGTTCTCTATACTCTCCTTAGAGCCAGATGGCTTGGTTTCCATCAATCTTTTGCTTGCAGCCCAGCCTGGAACCCAGGGTTCCTGGTCTAAACGGTCTAGGCATGTCTAGGCCACTCTGATAAATGCAAGTGATCCAACAAACATAGGTCGGCAAAACAAGTACCAACATCGTTCTGTATGGGCCGCCTTGATCATTGAAGTCCCTGTCAGACCTTGCCCTGAACTTACTCGGTCTCAGTCTCCTTCTTTGTATTCCTGAAATTACAAAGGCGATGTGTCCATTCGTAGTTTGGTTTGGCAAAGTTGCAATAGCTGATTCAGAGTATTCAGATTGATTTTGCTGATGTTGACTTGGGAATAAGATGTGTTATATAACTTGGGCATAAATCAAAGGCCAACATCTTTTGTTTGCCACCACACTCAGCGGATTTCATCCCGTGGCCTGCAGGTGACTCGACCCCATCGGTCACACCGTTGCATCTCCATCGGAGACACTCATGCTCAGGGCTTCCGGCACTGCTCGGGGCACTCAGATGTGCAAGGGACACTGCCGCGACTCACGTTCCATGGAAGCGGATGGCACCCCCCTGTTCGTACAGGAAAGTCGTCTTTCAAGGGGACTATATGCCATCCACTTATATGGAACGCGCGTCCTCGAGTGTCACCCGGTCAACCCATGTCAACCCTGTGTGATGTTCGGTGCGTTTTCAGATCTTTGTTGTTCGATCTTTTCGTAGGGGACAACCTGGTGGGTGGGTCCGGGATCCACCTGGGAATGTGAGTCCAGACTTTTGCCAGTTCTCATCGCAGATGGCTGTGGTGTCCTATGTAGTATGGACAGGGCAACATGTGTGCTTCATATTACTCAAAAGCATCAACTAAAACATCAAAACATATTCAATGCCTATAAGGGTTACCGGTTTTTATAATGTAGTTGTCACACAAGTTCACAGCTCCTTATGCAAAGCTGAAACTTCACCACATATTGCAGCATCAAAGACACTGATGCACCTTCCCGTGTTCTTCGCTACAATTGCTTCTGAGAAGACTTCTGAAATGAAAGCAAACCACTCTAGGACTCTAGGAGAAAGGACTGCATAATGAATCCCCTGGTATATGCAGAGTTGCTGGGCATTGACAGTCCAGAAGCCGCCCAGCCAAGAAACATGTATGCTGTACCAAAAAAGAGGCACCATGTACTGTCGTGTAGCCGCCTTTTAGCGATCATCGGCTGCACGCCACGCTTCTTCTTTGCGCCAGTATGGCATCGGTCTTTTTGACGAATGCATCGCGAAGGGGCTTTCGGTCTCCACTCGCTGGTTCACTTGAACTCGACGAAGTGACAAGTACGAGCGAGGGATTTTGGTTGAGCAGGCCCACCATGGGTGAGCTTGAGCAAGCTTGAGCAGCTGAGCTTGGTGAAGTTGCCTTGGTGAAGCTGCCGCTAGTTCATGTTAAAAGCAGACTGCCGGACACTGCCGTAACTTGCGGTTGACTGGACCGATATGGCTATATATACGGGTTGCGTCAGAGCATGTAGGACCCAACATCTCAAGTGCCAAACGTTACAGTACATTTGTGCAGTGATTCTTGCCCTTGGTGAACTCGAAGTTGGATGAAGTGTGCATGCAGAAGGAGAGGCAGCCCAGCAGCCCGCTGTTGTGTTTCCTCCATACTGTGACACAGCTGGAGTGCTCCTCCTTGCAGTCGTGCGCAATTTGCTTGCGACCACCTACCAATCCCAAGACCTCCAGCAAGAAAGCATGTTAATGGCATGCATGCGACAATTATTTGGTGTGATACTCCATGATACTCCAAGTATATGACAGTATGTGTGTATCTACGAGATGTACCTTGACCTCTTTGGACTGGACAGCTTCGTCGCAGGTTGGTGAAAGCTTCGTCGCTCATTGACTGTCCCGGTCCCCAAAACCTGGCGACGGGACGGGGATGGATGCGCTGAAGTTGCTTTGGTGGGAAGCGAATAGTCGTTTGGTTGGGGTCAAAGACCAACGACCAGGATCTGAGCAGCCATGATGGGACCAGTACTGCATTTATGAGTGTTTTTGTCCACATGTTTTTGTCATCCAATAAGCAATCGTCGCTTCGCGTGGAAGTGAGATGAATCGAGTGGTTCCCTGCCTCACTTTCGTCAGCCTTCTACTGAAAGCGCAGTGCAGTCTGATCTTTTTTTGTGAACTCTGAACCGCTGACCCTCAGTTGCGAACGGAAACAGAATATGTATGTGTTGGCCCTTTAATTGAAGGACATGTTCAGACGTAGCTTGCGTTTCATGAGAAGATCATAGAAGATCAGCGGCCAAAGGGTGCCATTCGGAACCACCTCGCCAGCACCAGTCGAGGGCTCTTCCGTCGCCATCCGCTCAGATGCCGTACCCTCTGAATCGATGCTCACGGTGCTCTCAGATGTAGCTTGGAGTGGGAGAGAGCCAGAAGACGTGGGATGATTGAATGGAGTGGGATAGTCTGACTGCATAGCTGGGTGATGCTGGGTGTGTCAATGTTTTGTGCGACTCAATACGCGATTAAAGATGATTCCAAAATTCGACCCTTCAGAAGATATACCTTTGTGTGTACTACGTGACATGTGCCTGATTGACAGATGGGTACATTTGGATTGAAAGAAACATGGGGAAACCTAAGACTACCCAATTACCACACTTTGTTTGTGTGCATGTTTGTTTACTCAAGTCATCATACGATTTAAGACACCAAAGAGCAGGATTCCTCTACATCAGTCGTGTTGTGCCAAAGGGCTTTGCCATGCGAATGAGGGTGGCCTTGCAAATATGCCCAGTCCATCACAGTCTACTCCAGTAATCCCGAGTACCTATTTAGAAAAGGATCCCTATTTAAAAAAGTCATGTTGGAGAACCCTAGATACGGTTTATATTTGGTATTGAATTACCGCCCTTTCCAACCGCTACTAAACTACCAATATTGCCGAATTTGGGGAGTTCTTTTTTAGGTTCCAAAAACAACCCTAACTGCCCACCTCTGTCCACCCTGTCTATCCACCATGACACGCCGTGTTTGCACCAGCAGGCTTTCCTTCCCCCAATGGCACGGACTCACGCAAACGCACTTTCCACCGAGGTCACGCAAAACCGCATGGCACAGCGACATCACCTTTCGAAAGCTTTAGTTGTTAGTCTATATAATGAAGAATCACTATGCTAATAAAGGTTTTTGTAGGGAAAAGGAAGACCCTTCGATCTGGAGGTTTTTTGAATTTTTGATACGAGTTTGACAAAGGACTTTATATTTTTTTCTGGGTGACTTTTTGGTTTTGAAGCCCTGTGCAGGTGACCCTATTTTGGACCACACCAATTTCAGGAACCCCCTATTTTAAAAAATGCGACCGAGGTTTCCTTATTAGGGGGGGCGCCCGTGTTTTTTAATAGGTGGACAGGATTAATCACATATAAGCACTAAGTCCCCGAACAATCCAGGGCCTCGATCTAGCAATATGTTTGCTTCTTTGGAACTATCGCCATGACGGTCCTAGGTCACCTTGGCCTTGGCTCATCGTTGGTCCAGATCCTTGCGGGTTTGGAGGAATCAATGCAAGGGAGTCTTGTATCAGGAGTCACGAAGGGGGTGCCTATTGGAGGATAGGGGTGCCCATTATCAATTCACTTAGGGACTAAACAATCACCCCTTTGTGACTCCTGGTATATTGGCACGCTTTTTCTGCGCTTCTTCTCAAGTGGATCCAGTGATTTTCTTGCATGAAAGGATTGGATGGTTCGAGCCATGGCTCCTTCGTTTCATGTGGTGTTTTGGATTGTTTGCTTTGACCGGCAGGGTGATCCATAGATCCAGTCAGATCGCGTAGTTGAACCGCTTGGATGTGCTCAGGCTGTGGGCTGAGTAGTACTAATTTTTCAGGTCCGTGTGGGTTCTGGTATATTCCAGTTCGATAAGTGCGGAACATTTAGCAAACATCTAGCAGCATGGTGATGGAGGTAACTGAGAAGATGGCCTCCCCGGGCAGCAAAATATCTAGGAAAGAAATGAGTGTGCAACCCGGGTTGTTTCTCAAACAAGCAGTTCAGATGTCAACAAAGTCTACTATCAGCAACGATGTCTAGATGTGTGGGATTTTGTGGCAAGTTTGACTCCAAACATCTCCAAACATACCACCTTGAGTGTGTGGGAGATTTGTACATCCTTTGCAATGTTTCACATGCACATACATATTTTTTTGGGGGGGGTATTTGACAACCGATGATCGTTGCCTGAGAATGGTCACGACGGGTCCGTATGGATCGATAGGTTCACCATGTTTGACTTAAATGAAAACCTTGTTACACCACGTTTCACCTGAAAACAGAGGTGGATTCAAGCGGTTTCACCTCTGTTTCACTCCGGTTTCATCCCTGTTTCAACTGGCCACTTTGTAGTAACCAATGCAGTACACACGTCGCGGTTCCGTGGTGCCCACCGTCAGGATCCGCCGCGGGCTGCGGGACCTGGTCTTCGGGGAGCCCGGCAGCATCGGCTTGGCGTGGGCGCCCAGGGCAGACGTGGTCGACTCGTGTGGAGCGAAGAGAACATCTCGGACATTGGGGCTGGTGTGAACTCTTTTTTCGGGGACATGGGTGTTGCAACGATTTTTGGGGTGGACATTTGGGGAAGACATGTTGCAGGGGATTTGTGGAAACCTTGGGGAAAGATTGGGACTGTGAAGGCTGCAGAAGTTGAGTCCATTTTTGGGGGGTCCATGTCTCAAAAATCAATTTCTGGGCTATTCTGAGGTTGGCACAGCTCCCAAATGAATCTGGGGTTTGACACCGTGGGAGTCTTCAATTTTGACCAACTTAATTAACTTGATAATTATATACTGTATCCATTTGTATCCTGTGTTAACAAGTGTTTTAATGCGTATTGGCAGGTTTCGGCGATGGTGAGGGTCTTCTTTTTTTCACTGGGAATCGTTTCACCTGCAGGAATCAGGAACAAGAAGCTACTAGTAACATCTAGTAATATATAGTAGGCAGGAGGGGGAGCGGATGATTTCCCCAGCATTGACATTCCGATGTCGCCCTTCGGCGAAACGCCCGCGCGTTCGAGCGGGGACCGCCGGGTAGGGAGGGCCCAGTGCCCATGATCCACGGAGTCGAACCTTTCCGTGTCGAACTCCGCTTCTTCCGGCTTCCGCTGTCAGGACTTCGAGGAGCCGAAGCCGGAGGGAGAGGCGAGCGGCGCGCGGCTTCGCGAGGTGAGCCGGAGGCCGGGGAGCCTGGAGATGGCACTGTAGCTCAGTCAGCGCTGATTGGCACACTTGGATTTGATCAGTGAGGCCTGACAATCAGATAGCTCATCCAAGTGAAGAAATGAAGGATGACATCCACTTGGTTTCCACTTGGCTTCCGCTGGTGATGTGGGATAGCACTTGGGCTGAACTTGGGTGAACAATCGGCTCCCCTCCAAACAACCCCAAGACGCTGCTGTTTCGGCAACAACCAGACGGACTCCCTGACACTGCTCGACTCCCAATACAGACCCAATCAGGTATGTTCAATTGCAGGGTGAGCGGTGCACCCCCCGCCCAAAAAAGGTACTGTTTGTTTTATTCCAGTAAAGTTGTTTCAGGCATAACACCCTGATCCGATTTGTTTGCCACCAGAAGTTGACAAAGATAATGAAAGAAGACCACGTGATCTTTCGCAGCAAAAGGCAAACATTCAGTCGTTTAGTCAACGCGGTCTTCCTTGGAGCCTGTTTTCAATGGAATGTTGTCCGGTGTTTTTTTGATCACTTTCCATCACTGTCCAACGCTGGCGGTCTCGGACCTCGGGGCATCAAAGTGAAAAAAAGCCGTCAAAGGCCCCGTCTTCGGTGTTCGCCTAGTCTGCTGTTGCAGCGACTTTCTGGCACACGAGTTGTGGCATGCGGCATGAATGACACCTGCATGGTGCCCTTCCCCCTCAACGGCAGGGAAGCACGACGTGGAGATTGTGAGGAACTCAGCACCGCATGGTGCCCTTCCCCCTCAACGACTTCGGGACTTTGGGAGCGAACGTGGTCGGTCTGAAGACCTTCCTCACCCCTGTTTACATCGTTGTGCCAGGGATGTAGCTGGATCATGCCGGGTCTTTGGATCTCCGGGAGATATATGAGGGTTTGCGAAAGTGGCCTCTAGCTCGCCATCAAGACTTGGCTGCACAATAACTTGACACGGCATTCAAAAGATGCCACCCACGCAACGTGCAGGCATGCTGCCGAGCCTCAGAATCTCTCAGAACCATCCCCCCAAATCCCCAAAAGGAATGCATGATCCGGAGCTGCAAAAACATAAGAGACCAGACGGGGGTTGCCGAGATTGGCCGAATTCCAGGGCTTCCCCTCTTTATTAGACAATTGGAGTTTTGATCCGAGCTGATGCAAAAGAACCCACTGATCACACCAGAGGGATGGTGTTCTCATGTGTCTTCGAGCTTGTGACTTCTCAATCCATCCAAATGGCTTTTCACTTCCAACCCGGTGGACTTCGGCGATGGATGCTGCCCTTGATGCGCTGGTCACCACGAGAGAATGACGAGCCGATCGCTACGTTTTCTTCGGTTTTGGGGGGATCCGACAGACCGACCGCTACGTCTGGAGTGACAGACTCGTCTCCCTACTCCTCCCGGGCTCCACCGAGGCGGGCGACGCATCCGCCGGCGTCTGCTTTGAAGATGCAGGTGCTTGAACCTGCCGGTGGATCGCATGATCTGTGCTTTGAAGGAGGAGTTGAGCCAGTTTTCCTCTCAGGGACTGCGACAACATGGTGCTTTCCCGTAAATGTTGGATGTGTTTTGGGGGGTAGGAACTCAAGAGCAGGGTGTTTTAGTTTTTCTGGGTTGGACATGCGACAAAGGAGACAAAAACGGAGAACCAAAAGAAGCTTACACTCAGAAAAGATGAAGAGACCAAACATGAAGAAGGTTGCCGTCTCTGTGGAAGAAACGGCAACCTTCTAGCAAAGCTTCTTTCAAGGCTGTGTGCGCCCGAAGACTGAAGAAGTCGACTTGCGAAGAGTGCCAGCGAAGATGTTCTCCCTCGGACAATGGATCCCCACAGGTGTCACAGGATTTACACGACCATTTTGCAATGGTCCCTTTGATAGATGACCATATTTTCCTTTACAAACTGGTGGTGAACTCCACTTCCATGATCATTCCAGGGAGTGTAGGCTGGGGTGCCAGAAGGCAAGATTGTGGGTCGTGCAGTTCGACCATTTTCGGTCATGCCAGGCCAGGTATTACCTAGGACCTAGTTGATCCAGTGCTTGGTCAAAGCGATGGTTGGCCACTTCACCCTGGTACCCTGGTCAGGACAAGGGCGTCCGCATCAAGACCTTCAATTCGAGTACTGTAGGTTCATCGGCCTTTTCTATCACTCTTATTAAGATCCCACCGTTCACGGCTGTATGTTGACTCTGAGTCGCTGTCTGGACAGAAGCAGTTTTTACCATCGACGTCCAGGATGAAGACTCGCTTTTAAGTATAGACTTTCCATGTTTTTTCCACCACGGACCAGTAACTTCCAAGGGCGCCCCTGGCTGGACTACCCCAACACTACCTGTGGATCTTCATTGAACACCAATTGAAGGTCCAGGGTCCAGGGATGCATTCCAAGTTGGAACATTAGCTCCCTTCTTGTGTTTTGGAGCCCAGAGGTGGATTAGCCATGCTTGGGCCAAAAATCCATTGCCAACCATGGCCCCCTCTTTGGGTGTCTGGACACATAGCCTCTCTTTTAGGTTCCAAGGTCGGGCCATGAAAACGCATCCCTTCTGTTCTGGGCCCGGTTCGAAGACCTTGTTGCTGTCCAGGAAGGCTCCGAGCTGGTGGCCATCCACCGGGTGCGTGTGACCGAGCGCACCGTGCGGAGCGAGGCGCCGGGGTGGACCGACCGCTCCGCGGTCCCCCGTTCCGGTCGGCCTCGGGCTCGGAGCGTTTGAGCATCCGAAAGACCCAAACGGCGCCACACATCCGGTGCTGTTTGTCACACCAGTGGTGGTTTTCACACCAGTGTACCTGACCTTCCTGTTGGGGTGTCCAATGGAGCTGGTGCAAGTCGTGTAGAGGCTTCCAGCCAAGAAGACCCCAAACGGAAGGTGCTCGTAGATGCTTTTGATGGGTTGTGACGGTTTGTGGCTTGTATCTATCTATCTATCTATCTGTTTGTTTGTTTGTCTGTCTGTCTATCTATCTATCTATCTATCCATCTATCCATCTATCTATCTATCTATTTATTTACTTATTTATCTTGTTGCTCTTGTGTGACAATCATAACAAGATTGGCTTTGGTGGGTTTGTTGGCTTGGCTTTGGTGGGTGGACTTATTGATTCATTTGTCGGTCAAGGTGTTGTTCATTGCGACGTTTGTGTTGCTTTGATGTTCCATGTTCCTTGGTTTTGTTATGTTTGGTTTACTGTATTTAGCAATCTCATCCCCTCATTCGGGTGTGACATTGCAGGTCAAGACTTCCCAAACAATGATGACCAATCAGATGAGTGCTCTGCATGTCCAACACATAGAAGCTGGTAGAACATCCTTTGTGAGAGAGATGCCAAGCCCTTTGTGTGGGTAGAACAGTCCTTTTGGTTCTTTTCTTGGTTACAGAGAACTTTATATCAATGATGTTCCTGTCATGCCGGTGGGGGTGGCTTCACCCACGCTTCACCCGCACCACCGTTTGCAGGTCGCTCGGAGGATCTCCTCAAGGTCGGGGTCTTTGGGGCATCCACCAGAACTAGGGAAGAGGTCTGGAGCGTTTGGGGTGCTTGGGGTGCTGTCCTTGCTCCTAGTAGCGATGCCAGGAGCCCCTAGTAGCGTCCTTGCTCATATATTATGGATGTGCAGCTCAAATATAGGGAGAAGGCACGTTTGGAACAAGCAGTGTGCAGCGTCGGATCAACTTCGCCAGGATGCGCACGCAACTCGTACATCCACTATGGGTATACCCATAGATACCTCTGAAAAGTTGGACCAGCAAGAAAGCCAGAAGCCTGGTCTACTATAGTTCCTCGCGGTGACTTCGGAGTTCGGGGTGTTTGTTTACATTGAGTTTATGGGTTTTGCCATGCGATTTCTGGGTTTCTATACGCTGTGTTCCCAGGATGATGCGAGTTGTGCGAACAACCACGGTCCATTTTTGCAGCGTGGGAGGCCTGTCTCCCTGACTTTCCGCCTGCCCAAGAGCAAGAAGGACCGGCAATTCTGCTGTTTGTGGCCTTAAAGAAAGGAAACATGCGAAGACAGCCGAAGCAGTAGAGATATGTATAGTATTGAGTCGTGTAGGTTTCTGATTTCCAAGACATGTTCGAGGGATTCGCTTTCAGATTGCTTTGGTGATGTTTGGTGCGTTCTATAAATTATTAATATTATATAAGTTGCCACGCGTCTGTAGGGTCTTGGGCATACCCTGTATTTCAATGGCAGCCATATACACATCAACGAGGTGAATAGAACAGCTGAAAAGTTCTGTAGAACAGTGACAGGGTTCCTTCATGCAGATTCAGCTATAGTTCCTGCAAGCTTGGTCGGCTCAATGATGGGTGTTTTGAAGCTCTTAGACATGCTAAGTCACTGAGTCTGCCAAATTATGTGATATATAGTTAAACCGGACGATTCACAGCAGGATCTCATGTACTTTGCCAAAACCGAAGCTGAAGTGCCATGTAGTGGTGGATATTCATGGATCAGCTCTCATGTGGCACTTACTCTTTGGGTTCTGGGGTGCCCGAAGCTTTAAACTTTTTGCATGGGTGAGAGATACTGACACACAACTGTCATGGGCAGATAGATGCGAACAGATGGCCGATGATACAAGTATAACTATGAACATCGATCTAGTAACTCTAGTAATACAGTGCAGCATGATTCAAGGATGGGTGCGCGTGTCTCTACGCACCGGTGAGGGATTGAAACACCTGTGACGACCCACCAAACCCTCCGAAAGAAGAGAGTTTGGCGACCTCTTCATTAGATCTTCTTTCAGCGACCGAATTCATTCTCTTTCCAGCGAACCAATCCAAACCAACTGAGCCAACCACACCAACCAGCCCCAAATTGTTTTTTTTTGCATTCTTCACTGCCTCAGGAAGTGCCGGAGAAGGAGATTTTCCCAATGGTTTGGGCCTCGGCCTGCAGGAGACGATTTTAATTCGAAAACTTGACCCTTCCATTTCGAAAAAGTGTTCCTACCCAGTCAATGAATCACCTCCCCGATGACTTTTGGGGGGGATTGGAGAGACCACTCCCCTACTGAACATCCAGGTGGAAAGGGGATGAAAAAGCCTTCACCTGGTACTTTGTCCAGGCCAAGCGCTTCAGGGTCTGCAGTTGGCTCGGTTTGGACGACCTCCACGGAAGGCACCACTGACACATCGACGAAGCTGCCTGCTTTGGAAAGGCTCCAAGAAGCAGGGTGGAAGCCCCAACTACAGGATAGATTGGACATACAGCAGCACCAGCAATGGAATAGAAAAGACCGGATCTCCAAGTGCTGTTTTGAACGTAGACCGACCCTCGTATATAAATAAATGTTCAGCATTGGCGCCCTGGCACCAGTCCATGGCCCAGAAAAGAGCGGATGCACTGAAGACAAGAGTTTTCCAGACCCTGACATTCCATGTTTTTTGAAAGTTATGGAGTTATACCAAAGTTATACCTATACTATACCCGACATTGAGGTGCTTTCCTGGGTTTGTGTGGTATTTCATCATCATCATCATCATCATCGTCGTCGTCGTCGTCGTCGTCATCGTCATCCTTCCTTTCCATACGCTCATCGAGTGATGATGGCGTGGATCCTTTTGATCCGCCTGGTCCCCGTGGGGACAACCAGCTTCAGCTTTCAGCTGAAGGTCCTGTCAAGCAAGCGAGCCAGATTTGTTCTGGCCTGAGCTGGTTGACTCCGGCGTAGAGCTAGGTGCAAAATGCCAAATTGGTGAAGGCAGGGACACGGATGGTCCTCAGTCAGCTCAGTGGTGTAGTAGGGCTGGCAAGCGCACCACCGAGTAGGATGAGCTTTCGCGCTAAAGGCTGCTCCACACTTCTCTGCAATCTGTTGGGATGCTTCCCAAAGTTCTCGATGTGCCACTTCAAGGTGCGCATTCATGTCACGAGGCCAACTTTGGCAGATGATGCACTTCTTCACCAGCCGATGGCATAGTCCCGGGTGGGCCACCAGGATGTCAGCATCAAGCCTGTCAATAGCCTGAAGCCATTTGTGGTGCCAGTCATCATTGATGGAGGGGTCATGAATGATGTTCGCAAGCTTCTCCTCCTCAGAGAGAATTGGAGATTCCTCCGTCAGATTTGAGACTGGTTCTGCGCCCCCATGCGGCGTGCAGTTGAGCCACAATAGACAGCAGTTTTCCTGAATCACAGTTGGGATGCGGTCGAACTTCTCCGGCACGGAGCCGTCGTCGAAGACCCACCAGAAGCCACCCGCCAGGACCGCCGTGCAATAGTGTCCACAGGTGGGCTCCGATCCCAAATGATAGGATACTGCCGTGACCACAAATGGAATGTGGTCGATGCCAAGCTTGTTGTTGTAGAAGAAGGGCATCCACACCTTAGAGTCCCAGCTGAGTCTGGTTCGATTTTTCTTGCCCCTCGAGTCGAAGCGATCGATGTGGAGGCATGTGACGTCTGCAGGTTCTGTCAACCCATGGAGACCGAAAGATGCCAGGCTCCAGTTGGAGATCAAACCTTGCAGATCGGTGGGCAGCAGTCCATTCTTTTGCTCACTGCAGATGTATAGGTGCAAAGGGCACCCCAGGGCACTTTGATCCACCACACGGATTTCCCCATCCTGTTCCAGCCGGGATTCCCAACAACAACTGAGAAAGTTGGGGTTCAGCTGTTGAAGAAGGTGGTGAGCAAAATCAATGACATCATGTTGTCTAAAAGGTTCCGGCCACGTGGAAAGTAAGGTGGTCCATTGCCCATCTGCCCACAATAGAAGTGGTGCTCCCTCTGGTGACACATCTGCAATGGTCTCAAAGACCCTCGGAAAGTTGGACCAGTGGTCCTCACTCAAGCCTCCTGCCCATTGAGCACTCCACACCAATCCCATGACCACCGAGTTCATGTAGCAAGCTGATGCCGGATTCGTCAGTGGCCTCAGTGGTGCCTGACCAGGTTGGATCAGAGGTCCCCAAGCAGTTTGCCCAGATGTTGAGCCAAAGGAGTCCTTTGCTGGGTCGCGGGTCTCATTCTCCCCAAGATCAGTTGCCAAAGTCCGGAGTGGCTGAGCTGGTGCCAAAGCCCCCTCATCTCTGTGGAGTGTGAGTTGGTCAAGGCCAAGGTGACCCTCCATGGAATCACTGCAGAGGGCTTGTCTGTGTCCGTGGTCATGACTTTCTGAATCTGTTGTGCCGGGCGCAGTGCCCCAAAGCGCTTGATCAGGTCCTCCTGTTGCAAGAGAGTGAGCATCCGTGCTAGGGTGTGCAGAGCCTGCTGGACTGTGAGAGGAGCATCCTCTTGGGCTTCCATCGCCTGCTTCTGATGATCCCACTTCATCCTTGGGAAAAAGTAGTTGTTCCCATTCTCCTGGTCGATCTTCAGGAATCCCAGGCGTTGCAATGTTTGGATCAAGGGATCGGAGGAGGCCGTGGATTGAAGTTTTTGAGCCCGCTTCACCAACTCTTCCAGCAGTGCCTTCAGAACCAGGATCCTCAAGGGGTGTGTCCTCTCGCTTTGAGGTGTCTGATGCCAAGTTGTGGTCTGAGTCATCATGCAAGGTAGGATGGACCCTGGGCCCGCGCTCAAAAAAACGAAGAAGTCCGTCTCCGTGGCCAGACACTGGAGGGTGTCTTCGTGCCTTAGCACTAGCCTGCTCAGGACCTGCAGCAGGTTGTTTGTGTTGGGTGTGGACTCTCCATTGGTGATCTGGTTCTTCACCTGGCCTTTTTTTCCTTTTCCTTTTCCCTGCCCCTTCCCTCCATTCGACGTGATGGATCGGGGCCTCTTGGCACTCTCCTCCTCGTCGACCTCCATCTTGACCCATTGGTTCAGTGCTCCCCACATCTCGGAGACTTCCCCCGTCTCCATGTCCATGGTGAAGGATGGCTAGCAGTGAGGCCAATTGCAGGAGAATCGGGCACTGAGCTGCGGTGGGATGACCCTTGCAAATGGAGCAGGTTGATTGCTTCACTTGAAACATGGTGAGGTACTTGTAAAACAAACTGCCCCTGTTGGCGTGTTTGGCATGTTGATTCCACAGGTGTTGGAGCATGTCACGTGGATCAATCTGCCTCCCGCACAGACAACACCAGGTGCTAAGGGCTGTGCAAAGCGTGTCATCCTCAAGGAGCTCTGCAAAGAGACCAGTAGCAAGTTTGCTGTCCATGTCAGGGAAGGAGAGCGAGATGGTAGGGCTCAAAACTTGAAGATTAAGCCGAAGAGCATAGGACATTATCAAATCATCACTGCCTCCATGAAGTCTGGTCAAGTCATGGTGGACAAAGAGGGCCAGCTGTGTGAAGACTGTGCAGACATGTGGTGTTGTAGGCGGCCGAAGGCAGGAGCATCCCAGGTTCCGCAAGGCACTATCCGTTTGAAGCCATTCCGCATAAGTGGTGGCTTGTGGCCAGTGCTCATTGTGATGGTTCCCCAGGTGTTTCAGCAAGGAAACTGAGCTCCCAGACTGATGTCCACAAAGTCCGCAGATGTACCCAAGTCGCCGAATCAGGGACTTGTAGGCCATGAGATGGTCAAAGGTCCCGCCATGAAGTCCAGAGATGATCAGCGGATGATGCCACAGGAGGGGCGGGTCGTCGTCAGGTGGAGTGGAGCAGTGTCCTCCATCAATGTGGTGCCGTTGAGCGGCCAGACTCAGGAACTTGGAGTGACAATGTGCACATTGAGTCTGCCCAGGTACTTGATCTCGGCCAGCCACAAAGGTCCTAGTCGTCGTGGAGTGAGTATGATAAGACCTGATGCTGTTGAAGGCCTGCCGCGGTCACAAACTTCCGAGGACAAAGTCCACAGGAGAATTGGGCTTCCATCCTTTGAGGAGGTTGTGGAACAGGTGGAGGACTTGCCGGGAATTGCTCCCGGTGCTTCCGGTAGGCCAAGGCTAGGCCCAGCTGCTTCTTCACTGGACATGTGTGGGTCCTGCTCCGACAAGCTTGTTCACAAAGTTCGCATGGAGAGGAGGCACGAGCCCTCACCACATTGGGGAGAACGTCCCCCATGAGAGCATAGATGTCCCCATGATCTCTCCCCATGTGTGCAGACATCTGCTGAAGTCTCGAGGACCAAAATCCACAAAGTATGCACCGCTGGGAAAGAAAGTAGCAAAGCGGACGATCTCTAACCAGTGGTTCCAGGTCTCCTCCATCATAGTAGTCCAGCAGCCGAGTCCGGAAGGCATGAAGTTGTTCCGGAGGTGCCTTGGTTGGATCGAAGTTGGTACATGCGAACGAGGAGATGTGATGTCGGAAGTTCTGCCAGCTAATGAAATGTTCGCCACAATGTCTGCAGGTTGGTCTGCCATCAATCGAGTCTCTACCAATATCCAGTGGAGGACCGTTGATGTGAAGAATCCCATGCGAAAATGTTTCATGTCTTTTGAGCGTGTAGTAGTGACGAAACATGAGCCCACAGGTGTAACATTCCAGTCCTGCCTCTGCGAGAGGAAGAGAATTGCTCGGTTCTGATGTGCTGAGTTCCTGCAGCCATGTGTCAACAAGATTGATTGAGCATCGAAGGGAGTCCAAGTCCAAAGTGTGAAGAACGTCCATCTCATGCAGTTGAACAAGTCTTGCCTCGTGTCGGTGTAGTTGAGAGGCCATCCGCCCCCGCAGCACAGCAACCGGGTGTTGCAGGTGGTGCTCAAGAAAAAAGGCATGATGTGACTTGTGAGTCTGAAATGAGTGATCTCCTGCTGCTTGTCTCAGCATCGTGGTCATGGCCTTGGAGAAAATGGGAATGCTGGTGCTGTCGGTTCCTGTTGCATCAAGTCCATAGATCCCTATGGGAAGAATGCATGTTTGCCAAAGAGCCACCGTCTGTGCCGCGTGCATGGAGTTCTTGGAAAACCAACGATGCATTTGTTTGAATCGAAGTTTGCTTGCTTGAAGTCTGGCCTTCATTGTATCCCGCTGAAAATTAAAATATCCCATCTGAATACCAAGATATTCGTGCTTCTCTTTGATTGGAATTTCATGAAATGTGTCATCATCTTTTGGAATGCGGAGCGCTTGATGATCCAGCTTCCTTTTCACATACAGCTTCCGCGCTTGTTGGTGTTTCGTGCCACCCCAGCGGACAACAACTGCTGACTTGTGCATATTCACGGTCATGCCCAGCTGTTCCAGAATGGTGATCAGCTTCCCAAAACAAACCAACCCAAAGTGAAGTTCGTCAAAATCATGAAAGATAAAGCAGGCATGCCCGTCATCGGCATAAAAGGTGCAGCATTCCCTCATCCAATTGGTAGAGGTCTCCGCCGCCACGCGTTCAAGTGCCAGTGCTATGAAGCATGCCCAAAAGAAGGGAGCACCTCTGCAGCCTTGTCTCACACCTCTATGAGTGGGTTGAACGGCAGAGAGTCCTTTCCATTGAACAATGTAGGAGGTTTCTGTGTGCCAACACAACAGAAGAGCTGAGAGATCATGGGGAAGACCAAGGAGGTTAAAGGCCTCTCGCAGGTGTTCCCTGGGCATTGCATCAAAGGCGCCCGTCATGTCAAGAAAAAGTTGACATCCGCCAAAGACCGGAGGTTTTTTCTCCCCAGGTGCCTGAACTTTGCCAGCCTCATATCGCCATTTGTGATGAAGTGCTTGTACTGCCCTGGCATGAGCTTGGACACGTGTGATGGCTTCCCAAGTGCCTCTACCAGGTAAATAGGCAAATTGCGGAAACCATGTGAGAGCACGAAGAGTATGTTTTTTGGCCTCGTGAACAAACATGGACATGATGGTCTTCGAAAGAGGTGTTTGCAAGGCAATAGGTCGCAGAGCTTTAGGTTCAATGACCTTCTTGTTGGGCTTGGGAAGGAGAACTACCCATCCTGTCCGCCATTCCCGGGGGATGTGGCCTGCAGCCAGCCATTGTGATAGCCAGGAGTAGAGCAAGCTGCCCAGTTCCTCAGCCATGGATTTCCAAATGAAGCTGGGCGCCACGTGCGCAGGGACACTGGTGTGTCCATACAAGGAGCGCAGTGAGTGTGTGATGTCACCTGGTCCAAAAGGCAGTGCATGAAGGTGAAAGTTGGATCCTGGCAGGTCAGTCCCCGCATAAACCCCTTCCATGTAGTCAAGAATCCACCTCAGTTCATCTTCAGGGGACATGAGCATACCCTCATGCTTTCGAAGTTGAGGACGTGGGGGTCGATGTTTGGGCGTCAGGGAGTTGACCACCTTGAAGTAGCGTCGGGTGTCGTTGGTGGACCAGTGATGCCTGGCGGTATCAATGGTGTCCTGAAGTTTCAGTTTTTTCGCTTCCCTGGCCGATTTGGTGGCCGCTCTTCGCCATTTTTGAATCCGAGTCACTCGAAGCCAAGAGCCAAAAATTTGCTCCTGCCTGGATGAGTGGTGAGCCCGCAGAGCGACATCAGGAAGATGTAGCCGGGATAGTGTAGAGGCCCAGGACCAATAGTTGGTGGTTGAAGGTTTGTCAGACCGCCCAGAAGGCTGGAAAGAAAAACACGCATCCATCAGGACCTGGTTGAGAGCCTCCAGATTTGGTGTTTGATCCCGAAGATTGTCAATCCGGTTGCCAAGGTCCTGACACCAGTGGTGCCAATCCATACTCTGAAGGTGCCAGTGCCGTTGAAGAAGATCTTGTTGCATCCTGTTCAGGCCTGAGGGAGGTGGCTTCCATCCCCGCCATTTGTAGGGAAGATTGAACAGAATCGGCACATGGTCCTTGGTGTGACCAAACTTGCCTGGGAGGTGTTCCAGGTAGATAGGTTTCTTCGTGATGGAGTCACTGGTTTTGTGTCGGACCATGACATAGTCAATCCGAGATAGATGCCCCAGGCCGCCCCGATAGGTGGGACCAAGCGAGGTGTCCCAGGTGTTGATGGCCAGAAGCCCCCTCCTGGGTAGAATGTCAGCCAAGAGATGTGCATCCTGGTGTTGAGTGCCAGAAAGTCTCCCTCGTCGGCCTTGGAAGTCATGAAGTCGGACGCAGTGCGGGGTCCGAGGCAAGCTGCTATTGAAGTCACCGGCCAGGATGACCACATTCCGTTGAGGAAGACCTGCCAAAAGGCCATCCAAGGCGCCCAGAAGTCCGGAGCGTTTGTCCTGGCATTGCTGGTCAGATCCAGTCCATGGATGCTGGAAGTTGACCAGGTCAAGGCCCGTGGATTCAAGGTAGAGCCGGACATGCAGAAGCCGCCCTGGAGTAACCTCTCTCCAGGAGAGCCGGTCTGGAGGGCAGAAGGCCTTCCGGATGATGGTCAGTAGCCCTCCTGCTCGATCTTGAGATCCACTGTGGATATATGCAAAGGTGTTGTCAGTCCAATCACCTGTGAAGCCCCACCGTGTGTCTTGAAGCTGAATTAGATCAAGTTGCTGTTGATGCAGCCATTGCCTGAGGATGTCAAATTTGTAGGTGCCCAGGGAGCCGATGTTCCAGCTGAGTCCTTGAAGCCTGTTCTTCCGTAGTTTGGCAGGTGGTGATGAATTGGGTTGCCCCAAGGAAGTCGTTGGAGTGTCAGAGGCCTGCCAGGGAAGTGGAGTGACTCCAAGCATCTGAGCCGTATAGAGCTTCCCTTGGTACCATGTGTGCCCGTGAAGTTGGGCCCGCTTGAGAGCACGAATGTAGGATTTCTTCTTGGGAAAGTGCTGGCAATTGTCCAGACGTTGGTGTGTGGATCCAAGGCCACTTGGCTTTGCCGTGTTGGTGAACTGAATGGCAAAGGTCTTGTTGGCTTCACCGGACCGTGTGGCTGGTCCGGAACCCTCGGGCCACCAGGGCATGGCATTGGCATTGAGCTTAGTCATGAAGTCCTCGTGATAGACCCCAAGAAGGCCGCAGAGGAGGAGGAGGAGGAAGGTGCCAGCCCTGGCTGGGGACTTGGGACCCCAGCTAGCTCTAGGAGCCAGTGCAAGGACCTGGGAGGTGGTTCTCCTTGACCAGAATCGTCGTCCGCTCACGGTAGAAGTGTTCTTGTAGGTCTCAAAGCTCGAGAGGAGAAGAAGGTTAAAGACCTGAAAAAAGAGAACCACAATCAGAATGACCGTGCCGCCCTCAGGGACCGCCTTGAAGAGAGGTTCAGGAGGATGTCCACCAAGTTGGCGGATGAAGTCCCGGTACCTGATGGCCTCGAGGATCAGGGCGGCCACAAAGGTCAAGATGACCATGAGGCACGGGGTCCCGCACTAGCCCGTTCCAATTGATGGAATGGGGCTTGAAGCTAGTGGCCCTTGTCATCGTCATCGTCATCATCATCATCATCATCATCACCATCATCATCATATTTCATGCACATTGTGGCAGATTCGACCCCAAGAAATCTAGTCATTCGACCCGAAGATCGCTTGCACCGAGCAGCACGCTCCCATGGCGCGGCCGCTCCGCGTGCTGGCGCGTTTCTTGACGCTTGCAGCAGCAATGGCTGCTGCTTTGGTGTGGCTTGGAGGCACCAGGAGCTGCCTCGTTTGTCTTTTGGAACCAAAGAAGAGGTTACAGCTTTTGGTGTGTTCCTCGCTTCTTGGGTATGGATCTGAGTGTATCATACCCTGGAATTTGGGATGGGGGGGCCAACTTGCAGATGTTCAAGGTGCCTCAAGACTTCATGAGATTGATCATGTTTCAGCAGTGCAGGGAAAACATTCTTTATGACAGCTCGTCGTCAGATCATGACAAGCCAACTGTCAGTTTGGAAATCCATCAAACAGAGGTGAGCCGAACCTTCTCCTATCTCAAACCTATCTTCGCCATCGAGTCAAATTCCCAACTCTGCATGGATGATCTCGTGAAGCACTCTGTGAAAGTAATTATATATATTGTAGGGCACAACTTGCATGGAAAAGCGATTTTGCTCAGCCAACTCCTTTGAACACTGTTGAAAGCCCGTTGAAAAAGTTGTCTAGCAGCATGTTGCTTGCCGACATATATAATCACAACCATAGCCTGGTGTTCAGATGTATATTGCCGGATTACTGGCATCGATGTGGAAGCAGAGACAAGTGTCTGAATGTTGCCAGTCTCATCTCCACAGAACAAACTAGACTAGAGACGGAATCCAAATTCGACCTGTAAACATATCCTGTCTGAGTGAAACAAGTGGTCCAACAATGATTAGTACTACCTAGAAGCACCTCTATACCCGGTCCCCTTTTTACCCTCTCGACTACAATCCGTGGGAGAATCACCTGCCAGGCTGCCAGGTCCTCCCTGCCCGGTCCGTTTTACAAGTTTGAAGCCGAGGATGAGCTGGAAGCCTTTGCTCGGCTCCTCCTCGGCAGCCGGTCTCTCCCTGCTCAGCATCATCTTAGATGGCATCAACTATCGGTCAGGGGCTCCAGCTGATGTGTAGAGCAAGGGGCCTCCTCCGCAGGGTTGCAAGGTAATATCTTATATATAAATCTTGTAGGTTACTTCAGTCACTAGCTGGCCCAATAGTCTAGAGGATAAGTTCTTGGGACTTTGACTTAGAATCCTAACATTGCCCGTAGTTAGGAATAGTTTACACAGCCTCTTAGAGACCAACGAAAGACTTGGCTCGCAAGGGTTGGAGGCAGTTGCAACCTGCCCGATCGGTGACTAAGCAGTGGAGATGAGCTGTTGCGTCCCAAGCATGCCATGATTAGAGTTGACGTCACTATTGTTCTGTTTTGCCAGTCGACCACCGCAAACAGCGAAACATCACCGCAAGACCGACTTCACCCGGTCTGTTTCAAGCGCAAAAAGCGCAAGCACACACCAGGTGAGTGACTTCCCGAGACCATTTGGGTTTATAATAAGACTTTCCATTCCGTCCTCACACCACGTCGTAGTCGTAGTAGTAGTCGTAGTAGCAGCAGTAGTAGCAGTAGCAGTAGCAGTAGTAGTAGTCGTAGTCGTGGTGGTAGTAGTAGTAGTAGTAGTAGTGGTGGTAGTGGTAGTGGTAGTAGTAGTAGTAGTAGTTGTTGTTGTTGTTGTTGCTGCGTATTAACGGTCCACACCCTAGCTCATCCCGTACCAGCCCGCCGTCCTCAAACCACGGAGCGACTTCTTCAGAACGGAACGAGATCGGCGGCGACGGATGTGTCGGCCCAACAGCCAGTTCGTTGACCCCGTTCGGTTTCGTCCGAGAAAGCAAGATGGGACCTGCCTGCCTGACTGTCCGAAAGAAGCAGTTTGTCAAACTAAGAACAAATGACTAGCAACACGACAAGCTTCACTTTTCCTATGCTTCTCTCCAACTTTGCGGGCGTTTGGTCCCCAGGTGAGTACATATAGATACATCTAGCATGTTTATGCATTTTTCATTGACTGATTTATTTAGATTAGACTGTAACTCACCAAATGTTTGCGAAGGCATATGTGTAATACATTATTTGTGGCGAAGGCTCGCGAACCCTCTGGCGTAGGCTCTTCGCACAGGCGAAGCCAATTTGCGAAGGCCAACTTAGAGTGTATGAAAGGTTGCAAAAGCCATTTGCGAAGCCTTGTGTTGCGCGAAGCCACCCTTCCCACAAATTCTGACCCTGCGAGCCCCCCAGCGTAGGCCCCCGGCAGTGTAGTATAGGCACTTTACCTTTTTAATCCTTATAAACAAAAAAAACGGCTCATGTGACCGTTTTCTGTCCACGACACGCATTCCCCACCCGATTGTGTGGAGCGACGTTTTTCCGGGTGGCCTCCAATACATACCAATAGCAACATAGGTATGGCAACGTAGAAAAAACATATACAACAGGTAGGGATTTTGATGGATTTAGGAAATGTGTTGAATGTGTTGGACACCTCGCTTCTTGAGCCACCGCCTTTGGAATTCTGACACAGGCAGGGCGCCACAAAGTGTTGGCCAAAGATCCTGGATGCCTCTTTAGCTGTGCTTTGGACTGCCTGTCGCCTGGCTGGCTCACTGTGCATGGATTTGGTGCCAAGTGCACCACCAAAAAGGACTGTGATGGTTTGAGGATCTCACCTGCGAAAAACCAATACGGGACTCTCAAAAGCTCATTTTTGTGGGATGTGTAGAATCATTGGTTGGGGGTCTTGTGACCTACTCCAAATTGCCTGATAAATAGAAGCTGGGGTCTTTTCTTCGACGTGGCCTGGCTTATGTTCGACTCGGCCACTTCGTGGCCTCGCTTTCTTGAGGGGAGGTTCTCAACATGAATCTACTAGTATGGTTGAGACAGACCTACATGACTACTGACTACATGACCTACATGACTGTTGACCATTGCTGCCTTGCCTGGTTTTGGTCGTCTCTTCGCTGCGTCGCACAGGGCTTTGCTTAATTGTTTGCTGGACAGATGGTGACTTGGGAACTTTGCCCGCTGACCAATCAACCAAGACGAAGCTGACCAGGTAGCATCCTCTTGTTCTTGAGAACCTTTGATTGGCACCACGGCGGCGAGAAACCTGGAAGGATGGCAGGATGACTCTGCCGTGGAGATGAAGTGAACCATACCATGCCAGAGATGACCCCTCAAAAAAAATCAATAAATTTGTTGACATGTCCACTATGAAATGTGATCCAATATAAAGTGCATGCTTCAAAACTACAAAATGGTGCGGCATGAGCATGACCTCACCATTGCACACTAGGATCCAATAAGAGCAAACCTGTTGGGCCATGTTGGGGGTCTTGACGGTCACTCACAGGTCGTCTTCCAACCTGGCCTGGGTGTTGTCGGTACTTACAAGAGCACAAAATGCAAAGTGGTTGTATATGACTAATATTAGTACAGTGAGACCTCCCAGTCCCAGCCCCTGGAAGAAGGGAAATAAACTATAATATACCAAAATCCATTGGTTGGGAGCCCATTGAAATACACACTCACGCAGCTATAGTTCGATCATCCCAAGCTTTGTCCAACAACGGTGAACTGAACTGGCTCAATGGCTTCACGAGTCCTTCTTGCCGGATGAAAATTTGGAGGAGAAAGACAACCTTGGAAAAACGAATCGACACAGGGTGGCACAGGGTGACAGATATGGGGGTGGTCCATTGACAGCACTTCACTTAAAACTACAGTAACTTGCAGTATATCGGAGCCCTTTTGGTGTCAACCTGAGTGGTAGAGGGACAAATGACCAACTCCACTCCATGTGAACACGGTGGTGGTTTGGGAATGTCTTTCACATGTCTTTTCCGGCCCGTTCTGGAATGATGATTTATCCGCCAATATGTCGTAGTGGTGGTAGTACCGGTATTCACCCATTCACCTATGTCTCCACCATACCCTTCCTGGTCCATCCCTGCCTGGTCCATACCGAGGCTTTGGCGCTATGCCGGCCTAGCCACTGGGGCCGCGAGCAGTTGGGAGCCCCCTCTCCTTGTCAACCCAACCGGTCCTATACATTGGGGTGGTTTGAGGTGTCAATGTAAGGCATACATGACAGACATGGAGTGTTTGGGGGTCAGTCCAGGGTGGTGGCATCCCCCTATTTTTGTAAGCGAGCCATGTTGGGAGCCCATTTGTTCCAGATGTGATGCCAAGCAGAAATCCGCCATCTCGGCACAGAATGTCACGTCAAAGTAGTGCTCCTTTGGGGTTTGGAGCCCAGTTTTGACGGCAGTGTCATTGAGCCATGCTAAACTGACAACTGCGCTCTGAAAGAACAGTCGCAACTCTGAACACATTCGTGACAATCAGGTCTTTTCCGATTAGTTGGAAGCCTCAACTAGGACACATAATGTATAATCATATGTATAATATCTAAATATATATTTATATATAATTCATGATCAATAAGACAACTATATATGAAGAGGCTTTACATGGTTTTACCATCCAAATGGGGCGGTTTGATGAATGCAGAGTCTACATTACACCCATCCATATTCTGGAAGAACCTCACGACCTTGGTGCCTGGACTGATGGGTCCTGGTACATGCTGTTTGGAAGGGTCATACTCGCATGGATACCAAGCAAAAACATGTCTACCCACCTGGAACAGCCATTGGCATCATGCTCATACAGAACAAAGCAGCCTGTTTGAGTCGCCCCAACCGCCTCACAGCTCGGCATATAACAGCGCCTAGCAGCCTACCTTGCTGCCTTGCAGGTGATTTTGGCCTCCTTGTCGCTGCTCTCTTGCATCTCCGCCTGCTTGTGCCTTTGCGTACACGAGAGATTCCACCGTGGCATGTTCTATGTTTTTTTGTCAGCGGGACCTGCTGGAGTTCCTCACTTCTATGTGGGACCAAGCAGACTGGTCCAGCTGCAGATTTGCTCCGGCCTTCCAGAGGGGCTGCCAACCGAAAACGCATCCAATTCAGGCGGCGGCCTTGGGTGTGGCAGGTGGCCATGGATCATGTTGAAGCGCATGAGATCCTCGGCAGATTCCCTGCGTGATTTTGTCCGGTGGTGTTTCGTACCTGGACTAGTCTTTTCCAACTAAATCGCCAATGATTACCCAGCTTGCGGGTTGCCAGTTTATGGATTAGTGTTTTGATATGTCGTTTTGGGATGTGCTTTGCTTGTAGCATATGAAATTGGAGTCCTTTGAGGCTTTCCAAAGGTTTCCGCTCAGCAGTGTTTGTGTTTAGGGTTTCCACCCAACTGCCTGATCCAAACCCCGAAGAAGAGGTTGCGGACGACAATCCTTCCTGTTTGGGGTTGGGCTACCTACCCAGTCCAAACCCCGAAAAGAAGACCTTGCGGTGGTTCCAATTCTTTTGGGGGGTCCACCCAGCAACCCTTTTTGGATATATTGTTTCAAAGCTTTGTGCGCCCACAAACCTGCCTCAACATGATTCACGGAGTACCCATTGCACGGTAAAATGGATTGAGCCAAAATGTTGATTGTTCTTAATTTATTCTTAGTTTATTACGGATTGTGATTAGGGCTTGGCAGGTTTGAAACAGTGTTTTGGATAGGAAGGTATTGTAAGCTCTTCAGGAAGGTGAAGACAAACTCCCTAGCCCCAAACCTTTGATTCACAGCTTCGATGGGTTAGTTGCTCGTTTGCTGCGGATGTTTTGATGTTGATGGTGCTGGTGGAACAATTCGATTGCCGACAGAAACGCCTGGGTGGGACAGTCACCATGGGTAAGGTAAGAACTAAACAGCCAAAGCTGGGCTGACCGGGGTTGGGTAGGCCGCATTGACCCTGTGCGAGTCTCGCGAAGGCCATGTACGTAGGCATGCTAATTATTTCCGGTGGTGTCAGTGTCAGACTCAGAGTTCGACTTTACATTTCGCTCGACTCTGAGATATGAGTGATTCATTCACCCCAGCGGTAGTCTGAGAGTGATGGCAGTCCTGACTCGGTATTCATCCGTCGGTGAGCCGCAAGCTGGTCTGAGGAATCGGCTGGTGCTGAGGCGGATGTTCGCGCCACGTGAGCGATCTGGCGAGATGGAGGAGGAGGAGGATAGAACCCCACACGTACCCCTCGATTTGTTCATCTCAGGAGTTGTTTCCCATGGTTCAAGGGTCCTTAACTATGTGTGCACGTGGCAGCTGAGTGAGTTCTTACGAAGCAACCCACAATCATACTGTAGTTTCATGTGGTGTAACTAATGCCTGTTGAATTCATCGAAAATAACGAGCCAGAGTCTTCCTTCAAACAGGGTTGCTTCCGGCGGACCGCATTCAGGATCCGTATACCGTTTCGCATCGAAGCCGCAGAGAGAATTTTTCGGACCCTACGTTCGGACAAGTGTGGATCTCTTGCGGGGATCGGGTGTCCACCATGGGTCCTTTCCGCTCAAATCCAACAGGTGGATCGTTACACTCCCTGGAATCATGGAAGTGGATGGCAAGGCCGCTTCCAGGAAGACCTTTTGGATCCTTTTGGCCTTCCCAATTGGACTGGTGGTGTTCACTGAGTGTTCACTCCACTTCGGATTCCATGGGGTGTAGGACTCCGGCTCCTGTCCCACCTCCACACCCCAACTCCGTCGGCCCCCTCTATGCATGCAGCAATGGCCTCCAACCTAAAGAGAAAGGACCAAAACCAGGAAAGAAAGAGGGACATAAGCATACATCAGCAAGAGAAAACATGGCAATGGCCTCCAACCTAATAGCAATGGCCTCCTTGGCTTTTGAGGAGAATAGTATGCTTGAGCTTTTCCTTTCGGTGATGCTCTCATCATGACCCAAACAAACAAGTGTGTGGTGCTTTGTTGCTCCAATCCCTTGCCTATGCTTCGCATAAAACTCTTCGTTTGTTGTGCTTGATGCCATGTGTGTGACCCACTTGACATGTCAACCCTTTTCTGTTGAACAAAACATGGTTTTCAAACCATCGGAGGCAGGCCAGCAATGTGGTGACCCTGTACTGGGCCTTACTCTTTGCCTTGATGGCCACCGGCGTGGCGGTGAACAGCTGCTGCAACACCCAGCTGGCCGCGGGCGATACGGGCGAGACACGGACCTTGGCCGCTTGAATTGAAGCGAGGGAGATCGGTGGAGGAAGAACCGAAGAACCGCTCCTGTTGATGGGAATACTGGTGTTACACCCTGGAAGACTAACATGGACCCTGAAAAGCCCTACAGGAGTCCACCGGGAAAGCAGACTAACACGAACACATGAGTTACTGACGTCCCATGCCCCATGCCTTTTTTCTTCCTCAGTTGGGGGGGCCTCCTGAAGGGTCTTCCCAAAGATCGAAGATAGGACATGATAGGACATATATAGATTTGGTGTGACCTTCAATCGGAGTTGAACAATGCAGATGCCATTTGCATGCTTGCAACATCGGAAGAGCTCAATCAATTGATCACCGAGATGTTTAGCCAGATGGCTACAACGACTGCAACTCTCCATGGCAGTTCGCCGAATGGTGCGGCCTTGCAATTGTCATTAACCAAAAAGTGTATCCAAGCACAAATCCCAAGTAGAATGGCTATTCATTCCGGTGTCAGTGTCATCATTTCAAAAGAACTGGGCACTTAGACCAAAATCATTTTGGTGTCTCCGAACATAGTCCAAGATTTGTGGATGAACTTGTCAATGCGCTTATATACAGCTTGCAAATGGTTGACCATAATGGTACAGATGAAGGAAGTAAAGCACTTCTTCCATCTCTTTTTCTCTTTCTTGCTCTTTCTTTCTCTCTCTCTCTCTCTCCCCCTCCCTCCCTCCCTCCCTCTCTCTCACTCTCTCTCTCTCTCCCTCCCTCTCTCTCTCTCTCTCCCACTCGCTCTCTCTATCTCTCGCTCCCTCTTTGACAGCTACTTGAACTCATGACATATGACATTTCAATGCATTGTCAGCATCTTTGTGTGTCAGTCGCTGCGTTCCTGATGGTGGAAGTGTTGAAGGTAAGCTTTGGCAAAGGCTGGCAACATTGTATTCTATAGCTTCAATCGCGTTTTGTGAAGACCTGATTGGTCAATCACGAAACACTCCATATATGCAATGTATACCTACCTTGGGCATTTTTAACACCCCAATGTAGCTTTTAAAAAATTGCTTGTGTCACTGTGTGTCGGGTATTTTGGTGCAATGAAACTGCACTACAAGTTGTGTGTCGTGTGTTTGTTCTTTGCAGATATGCCAAAGTAAGGTGGTAAACACACCGTGCACACAAAAAGGTGCTGCATGCACGCGTGAAACCAGTTCCAATGAACCATTTGCAAGAATGGTAGTCTTTTAACCGTCTTTATGCATAAACATTACTGTGGAAAGCAGTCGGAGTTCCCATTCAGACAGAGTCAAATCCGGTCATATCAGTACGAGGGTGTCCATGTGTGTGCATGATATGCGCTTCACTAATTATGCGGGATGGAAGCCTTACTGTAGATGTTTGATGTCCAAGAATTGTTGTACTTTCGATGCGTCTTGAAGGAGTTTTGGACGAAGGTGAAACATTTCACACTCAATACCATAGAGGCTATATAACATTTTCAGGCGGACTGTTCTGATTACTTGAAGAGAGTGCATAGGGCAAGCCCGGCAAAACAACCCAAAGCTGACAAGAATTCCGCGACCGTGTCTTTCCAACAGTTCCCAGTGGAGCTGCATTCCCAGAACTTCCAATGACTCATTTTGCTCCACCTGCTAGTCATATTCCACCACTACCATAGGGGTAAAATGTGTCGTTTGGACTCTCAGGGATTGCGGGTCTATTGATCTAATCAGACGATCCAAATCTTCCAGAATTCATACTGGGGCGGCTCGCGACGGCTTTCATAGACCCGCTCGCAACGGAGACGACTCTGGCGAGGTCCACCCAAGCCAAACGATGAACCTTTTGCTCGGCGTTTGTTGGCCCTCCTTGGTCCTGGTGCTGGGTGCGCGCAGCTCGGAACGTGTCTCGAACTTGGAGAGCGATTTCGCAGGGAAGGAGGGAGAAGCTGGAAGCAGAGAAGCAGATAAAATAACATGGTCTTTCATGATGTATATAACTGTCTGGTGATTGAAACAAGCCAGAAGTTAGACAGAAGAGAGATGAAAATGCATCATGCACAATTTTTTTGCTGATTTGTTTAGGGCAAGGAAACCGATTCCCCAGCAAGAATATGTCCCGCAAGTGCCCCCCAATTCATTTTTCTGCGGTCGGTGTGTTGATTTTGCTGTGGTCGGTGTCGAGGCCCGTCAGCCCGTCTGGCAGACCACACCAGACACCGACACCTCGACCTCCAGACCTTTCAAAGCATAAAATATGGCTGGAGCCTCCAACCTACTCTCCCTGGAAAGAAAACATGGAAGTGGAAAACCACCGCTTTGTAGTGAAAAATGGTCTTCCAAGGGGCTATTCAATTCTCCACTTCCATGTTAGGTCCAGGGAGTGTAATAGCGATGGCCTCCAACCGAATAGGGATGGCCTCCAACCGAAGAGCGATGGCCTCCAACCTAATAGCGATGGCCAGCGATGGCCTATGCTTTGAGAATGGGTGATGTTGCACGTTTGCCAGTAATGACTAAGGGGCTAGGTGCAGAACCACCCTGCAGACTTTGAATTGGCAACATGCAGAACCCTGCAGTGTCCATCAACGTCATATGAGAGATTGAAATAACCCCGCTCTCAGCAGTTTAGTATTGGCATGCACCTTAACACTACAAATACATTCCTACCCCAGAAAACGATCAGAGTAAAAAACGATAATGATTATACCTGCACATCTCATGGGTTTCAACCTGTCAGATTAACAAAAGACACGTGTTTTTTTACAATACCCCATATGTAAACACCACGGCTCCAAGCAGCTGAGGCTTGGGCCGCTATGCCACTAAGCGCTTGCATCACGGGCAACACTTGGCACCGGAATAGACGTTCGGGACCTGGCGGTGTGAACATACACCATGCATGAACATGTGATGTACACAACCCGCCCGAATCCCAGTCTCGACTGTGGGCAACCAGGGTTTCTAGGTCATTCTAGGTCCTCTTGGTTTTGCTTGATATGACATTGTTGTTCATTCGGGTTGAGAACGAGGATGTGACCCACTGAGGAACCAGTGTGTTAAACATGCATGCCGGTGAGGCTTTGCGGCTTCCTTGCGGCGACATGTGAGAAGTAGCTTTTGCTGGCCCGAATGCTGGCCAGAAGTTTGAAGGCGAAGACCCTGGAAGAGCGCCAGCCGGTTCTGTTGAGGATCCTGACGTTGAAAGCCTGGAGGATCAAAGACTCCGCTGCTTCCCATTCGGAGGTTTCTCTATGGATGGAAGGCCCTGAACATTCTTTTTGGGCCTGCTGAACAGAGTGGCTTGGGTGTTCTCGCCCGCACTTGCTACTCTCCCTGGAACTAACATGGCAGTGGAAAACCACCCGTTAGAAAATGGTCTTCCAAGGGGCCATTCTCCACTTCCATGTTAGTTCCAGGGAGTGTATTTATGATCCAATTTGGGCTTTCTGGCTACTTCAGATTGGGCTTGAGCCCTTTGATTGATTTGTGAGGATTGTTGCTCGAAGGCCCTGGGGAGAGAGCGGTTGGTTGCTGTATGGGTTGCTGATGTCTTTATTCAGATGAATGTTTATGAACACATTTCTTGACGGTATGGCTAGTGGTCAATTGCTGACTAGCACCGCTCTTCATTGCCTGGCATCGACTGAAGGGAGTGACCAACACAACACAACTGATGTTGGAATAGTTGAACTTTTTAGGTGAAATGTACCTCTGGATCTATAGACGTATCTATAAACTAGAATCTAGACCACCCATCCAGATCGACCACTTCTACGAGGGAATCTCAGCAACAGACCAGGGGCCTTGACACCTTCCAGTGGTCTGGACCATCTGTTTGTCCCGTGCCACGGCGAGCGTTGCTCTTCGACACTTCGAAGAAAGGGGGTGACGCCAACACACAGGTTGATGCGGGGAGTGGATCTTGTTGTGGGAGAGATGCTTAGGCTTACCCCCTTCAGTTTAGACTTTAAACCATACTAGACCAGATTGAAGAAGATTTTTCATCGTTGATTTGTACATATTTCTACTGATCATCGACTACAAGTGTATCTGTATGAAAGCATCATAGGGTGCGGAGGGCGCAAAAGGGAAATCTCGATCAGATTCGTTTGTAGGACACTGCGCCTAGTCGTGAAGTTGTCGGAACATAGTCTGAGCATTGATGGAAGGTCATTGGAGGGTCCGTAAGCAGAATCCCTTCACTTGAGAAGAAGCAGAGCTTTCTGAGCTTGCTGAGCATTTGAGCAGTGCGTCCCTCACTTACTTGGTTTAGTAGCCATTCAAATCCAGTATTAAAGTACAGTAAGGATGTTCTACCAGATGGTAGGCCGTGCGCATGATCTCTTGTTGATCCTCCAATCCCTGCATGGCGGCCGTGCATGCCAACGTGCACACTGCATCGACTCCATGGCCTCCAGGTGATCGCAGAGATCGTGGTGAGTGAGCTCCGGGAGGGGTTTCTTGGCGTTCCAAACGGGACGGCCAGGGTGGGTTGGGACGGCCACCCCAGATCAGCACATGCAGACGAATCCGACGTTTTGGAAGATGAGTGACCAGCAGAATCCCCTGGTACGTCATCGGTTTGTGAAATATCCGCCCAATGTCCAACATCTTCTTGGCATCCTTTGCACGGGCAATTCTGAGCCCCCTTCGACCGTTTCTTACAACAGCTGGAGAAGCAGAGCTTGCAAGTAGTTGTTTCTGTTGGGTTTTCAGGCTTCTCGATCTGATCAGGTTCCCACCAGGGTCGAAGTCCACTCGTCCCTCTTCGGGCATTGAAGCTCCAACCTGCCCCCCGTTGCCGTGTCACTCGCCCCTCCCAGTCAGTCGGCGCTTGGAGCAACGCCCGCTCTCTCTGCCGGTCGGACGGCCCGAACGGCAGAGGTTGCCACCCTTGAAGACGGCACAACCGCCGCTGAGCACGGCCGTGCAAAAGATCCAATCTGCCAAGGCGCAGAGACTGCCAAACTGTTTTGGTCGTTTACTTATGGCGGGTAGCGGACTGAGCACAGCTCTTTTTGGGGATGTTTTTTGGGGCTTTAAAAGGGATGCAGGGATGTTGGTTGCATGTAGAAGAGCTGTTCTCTGCTTGAAGCAATGTTGCAGCCGGACGCTTGAGGGAAGTTCCAGCCGGGTTTTGTGCAGAGGGCTTCTCTTTTGGTTCTGTGGTTTCGGGTGTGAGCTTTGGAGTCCGAAAACCGTGTCAGGACTCCTTCCGTCCATCAGTGGGGACGACGGTGGCCCATCTCTTGGTGCCATCAGCGAAAAAAGCCCTCAGCTTGGGACTGGGAGCTGAAAGATGATGAGTTCGTAACGCATTCAAAGGGTCGTCGCTGCCGAAAAAGAACATGCTCCGGCGATCCCAGAAACGGATGGTCCAGCAGACCCAGAAAGGCCTTGAGAATAATTCAGACGAGTGGTCCGGTGGTGGAAACTCTCAACCCACCCACCCAGCGCCTTCTCTCGACAGGCACGCTGCACGCTGCAGATGCACCAGGCTCGGACATCGACCGTCCGCTTCAGTGGTTGGGAGTCCAACGACATCGACTGAAGGGTGGATTTTTCTTCGGCGCAGCAGAGCTTCGGCTTCAAACCACTGAGCAATCCTTAATTCGGATGGGAACCAAGAGATCGGTTTGGACACAGCATGGAGTGCTGAACCAAAACTCATGGGTGATGTTACAAATCGTTTCACAGCTGTCTAGTCCAATGATCATTGCGCCTCGATCCAAAAAGAGCCCAGGTCTCCTTTCGTCTCCAAGTCTAAGAGCCAAATTCGTGGCGCTCTTCCTGGAATCAAGTTCACATTCGTGGGACAAAACAGTCACCAGACACCCGGCAGCCGAACACTTCCGAACAGATCCACCGAGGCTTCTCGCTTGCTGCAGAGTGTCCGTCGCTGGGGTACCATGCCCGGCACCTCCGTCTGGGCACCGAGTGAAAGACCCCGACGGTTGGCCGACTGGAAGGAGGACCCGGTCCGGTCGCGCGTTTGTGGGCAAACCACCCGCACGGTCGATGGATCAAAACCAGAGACACCGGCACGTGCGGAGAAACTGGGGGCTTTTGGTGCCGGAGGACGTTTGTGTTTTCGGCTTTTTTCGCCATGGAGGACATGGTGGATGTAGAGATCAATGGATGTAGATGTGCCGCACTTGGGATGACTGGAAAGATCTTATGCGAAACTGAAGGTTCTAGAAGAGCTTTCAGTGTTTCATCAGCTCTTTTGGGATGACAGCCCAGATATGAGTAGTTTCCCCAAATGCTTCCAACATGTGTATTTCCATGTGGTTGTGTAGCATGTTTGTGTCTCAGATGGTGCGCAAGTTTGGACGTGTATCTCAGAGAGTGTATAAGGGAACGATTCAACATGATTTACCCATAATAGTGTTTCATCTCAAGCATTCTTTGGAAGTACTTGCTTTATCCTGCTTTCACCTCCAAGACCATCCGAACAGGAGGTACACTCCCTGGAATTATCATGGAAGTGGATGGCATGGCCCCTTGGATGACCCTGTTCATCCATTTTCCTCTACAAGCCGGTGGTGTTTTTCACTTCTATGAACTTCCATGACGATTCCAGGGAGTGTACATAGACCCCATGGAGTTGGCTTTTTGTCTCAATGGCTCGAAGGGGGGCGGAATGTCTTGCAGAGCGCGATTGAAGTCAGTGAGTACTCTGGTGGTTGCTGGGCCACTGGGGATTTTCAACGTCCCGATCCACGGTGATCTCTGAAGCTCAGGAAGAATCCACCACTGCAACCGTATTTCGATGGCAGGACGAAGTGGAGGCCAGGTGGCGACTTCATTGATCTTACAAAGGCACCTCTCCAACACTCCATGTGCCATCAGTTCGTATGTTGGAGTTCACGCTTTTGCGGCATTGAGCGTCGAGGTCGCCCGGTACTTTGGCTACACTTCAAGCTATGGATGTATATCTTCGACACTTCAAGCTGTGGATGTATATCATCGACAAGATGGTAGCTGCTATGTTCTCATCCATTCCACGAATCGCAGCAAAAGCAATCCGTGCATGTCCTTCCATGTGCCAACAGCAGGCATTCTTTCCTCATATGTCAGGAGTTGGTCTTCTAAGTTCATTTGGATAGTCAGAGTATCGCCTTTTTTTGGATGTTGAGATTGTTTTGGCGCCGACTCGCCCAGGGTGTACGTATTTTGAAGTAAAACTTAATGAAACTCTAAAGCTGCCTGACACATGACCTCATGCCAAATTTGTACAACTTTTGCCTACTGTCTTTGCTGCTCGGTCTTACTGGTTTCGTTGGTTTGTCGTTTGTTCTTTTTTGTTTTCACATGCAGCCAAGTGGCTCTCTTTCACCGGAGGATCATCCCCGAAACCCGAAAGGTGCAGAACTTTGCTAGGGTGGGAGTAACGTCCAGGAGACAAGAAAGAGCAGACTTAAGGTGAGAGGAACATGAGTGCACTAGAGCTAGAGAATAATAGAGCACATATTAACACGGCATAGACTCATGAGGCAAGGTATGAAACCTCACTGCACCCACATCAACCCCACCATACAGTGTTTGACAAGACCACCTACTGTTAATCCCATCTTGCATGGTTTTGGGTCTCGATCTTGCGCAGTGATCCACATTCTGCACTTCCCTTCCCAACAAGGGCACGTACAGTGGCCCGTACAGTACGGGTTGAATGCAACACAATCGCAAGCCTAAGGCGTGACTTGTATCACGAATCCAATTTTCAGACCAGCAGCATACAGCTGCGCTGCACGGAATACTCATACACCAAGGGTTGTTGCAAGATGTTGCAAGTAGATCTGTGGATCCCACCTTCCAACAGATGGCTTTAGGATGTTTTAGGACTACCTCTGCAGGCGAACTGGCTACCTCTGGTTGTTCCATGGCACCTATTGTGAGTGGTTTTCCGGAAAGACCTCATGGGCGCCGGCCTCCTGCCAGCGGCCTGCCGGGTGACGTCGTGGAGACGTCGTGACTTCAGCCGCCCATCAGGTGCCCACTTGGGTGGAAGATCTAAAAGCCCGGATGCCTGGAAGCGCTTGGAACATCTCCCAGAGGTGTTCGTATAGGTCTGAAGATGTCTGAAGGAATCAAAAGGTGTGGTTTAAAAATATGTTTGTTTTACAGACCATGACCATCCCGTTTAATGGGGAACTCTGATCATATACCATTTAATATATATATAGAGCGAGAGAGAGATGTTATATTTGATAAGATATGTTTGAATAAAAATAATCGATTCAAGTCAATCTTTTGACACCATTCAGGATTCATTGGCATGTTCCGCGGATGCTCTAAGTAAACGAACGTTGAGCCACAATGTCCAAAATGGATCCCTTTCTATCTAATTACCCAATCCTGACCGAGAGATGTCGAGAGATCACTTGCTGTAGCTTGTCCTGGAGAAAGTCATTTGCGTAGACATCTCTCTTGGATGCAATGATAAAGTCGAAGATAAACCTTAACTTTAACGTACCTTAACTATCCTTAACTTCAAGGTTCAGTCCACATGAAAGTTGTAGACAGACCTTAACAATATACCTGAAGTCCAGAACCACCTCACCTGCCTGGCACTGACATAGAATGTGGATTTGTGGCACTATGGGGCATAGGATGACATGTTCTTGGCACGAGCCGAGGACATCTAGGATCTCTATCCTCAGTGGATAGCAGGCACTTAGCACACACCCTGGTGACTAAACCTCCGATTCATACACTCCTGGGGCGCTGCCCAGCTCAAAAAAGAGGACCTGCAGTGGTGTACGCAGTGTATACTGCGATCGTTGTGACTTTCGACGGTACTCGTCGCGCATGCACGCGCATGCTCGACTCTGCAGCATTGAGCTTCAGTGCTGAACCAACAGACCCTCATCTTGCCTGCTGCTTGGCATGGGATTCGGAAATCCAGCAGGTCTTTCTTGGCCACCTCGATTTTGGTTCTCAGAGGCCAAACCAAGTGGTCGCTTTGATGTTAAGTCTTGTTGTCTTCCTTGAGTCCTACACTCTGCCCGGTTCCTTTTTCTTTCACAACGGGTCCGACGGGTCAACTTAGGAACCGACACGGTGAACAAAACGTCTCGTGACGATTCCTATTCTCATTGAGCCAAAATCCCATATAAAGCATTGAAAAGATCCACTGGAATCCAGATGCTGAAGCAAAACACCTGGGAAAATATCGATGAACATATGGGATCCGAAGTGTTTCCCTCTTTCTCCACCTTGACACTCAGCATGTCTGTTGATTGACCAGGCCCCGCGGTGTTGTCTGAAAGAGGGACGAATGATGACGAACGACTGGACGACCACGAGTCGATGTTTGTTCCGGTGACTTTAGGGCAAAATGGAGGTCAAAATGGGGTTGAAGATGCATAGCAACTTTAGACATGCACTGACAGAAAGAACATGATGTGCCACTTCGACATTTAATAGAATATAATAGGAAATCCGTGGCCAGGAGTCATCAATTGAGGATACAGCTAACCCCCTCGACTCATCTCGACTCCACAAGCCTCGTTCTCGTAAAGCAAACCGAGGCTTCCAACCGGTGATGCCTCGCTGCATCTTCGTTTTTGCTTTCCTCGTCGGGAGGCTGGCTGCCAAGTGTATTGGAAACATGGCATGAAGCAGGCACTGCTGCAGACCTGGCTAATCCGGGGAAACATTGGCAAAACTACTTTTGAAAAGCAGTGTTGCTTGGGGAGCCCCTGGTCCTCAGTTTTTGAGTACTGGTAGCAGGCACTCATGAGGTGTACCCGCAGGCGAATGGACACAACAACCCGTAAACGACCGTAAACGTTTCTATTTAATAAAACAAAAGACAACTATATTCAAGGAGCAGATAGATTGATTGTTTGATCTCCACCAATTGAGTTTGGCTTGGAGGATGGTCCCGCTTGCTTGCAGCCATGTCAAGAGCACAGCAACCTTGTTGAGTGGTGGCGAGAAGATGCCAGAATCCAAGCCAGTAAGAGCAACAGCCTGTGGTGACCACAGTGTAGTCCCCCCGAAACCTCGTGGCCGATTCCTCGACCACTGAGGAGAGTCATGCCCAGCCCAGGGTGACTCGATGATCCAGCATCATGTGGCTTGGGCGCCTGCGCGGGCCAAGCGGGGGGGTGGGTGTTGCTTCATCTCCACATGACTCGTTCCAATCCAACAGAGGTTGAGGAACCCTACAGACATCTACAGACTATAGGTACGCCAGGTGACAGGTCCTATGGGGTCACTGAACCTCTCGAGTGGTACTATTCCATACTATTCCATCGAGAAGTCCATCCGACGAACATCCAGGTTGCCAAGAAGTCTCAGACCAATCCGTGCCTCGGGCGCAGTGCGGCTAGCTCTAGGATTCTGAGATCGTCAGAGGACCAAGAAGGTCACCTGTTGGAATCAAGTCCAACAACTAAGTCCCAAAAAGATCGTATGCAGCTGCCATTTGCACTGAACTTGTTCCAAACGAGACCCCAACCGGTTCTTGTATGTTCTTGTCCAAGCATTTGAAGATTTCTCACATTTGATTGTTGGGGCGATGTTTGGTCATGAACATTCAGATACAATTCAGTGAACACAGGACGTCCTGTGATTTAGGGATTTGACGGCCATTGAACCAATAGCATCTTTTTCCAGCAACCAACCAGCAAGGAAAATTGAGGAAGTACCCTTCCTCCAACAACCATGGAAGCTGACCAGGACCTTTTGTGGAGTAAAATTGGTCTTCTAGGCTTCCAGGAGCCTACGTTCCACTTCCGTTATTGTTTCAGGGAGTGTCTTTGTTCAGATCCTTGAATGGACGGGAGATGATTCTTGGACCACCAAACCACCCCACATCAACACCAGCTGATTGACAAAAATATTCATGGGTGGACTGGAAGGACTATATAGGACCGTCCTGGACTCAGTCATTCTGAGTCCTGGGGCGAGTGCCACATCAGAATTCCTCGGAACGACTCCTCACATCAGCAAGTGCCACCCAGCCAGTGGACTAATCCACCCAGCCAGTGGACTAAATGCAGCAAGTTAATCTTGTCTTGGGTAGCCTTGGGGTCCTCTTGAGTGGTGCGCATTGCCCTGATGAAACGCTTCACACAAATGCCATCAAATGCCTAAAAAGAGGGTGTAGTCCATGACCAGCAACGGTCGATAAACACCAACTATACATCACGATGTTTGAACAAGTCATCATCCTTGGTTAATAGGATATACCCGACCAATGATGGTTGATCAGTTTATCGACTCGATCCTTCGTTGAGTTTCATGTCTTTGCTCATCTCTGCTCAGTCAGTCTTGCATTCTATGCAGCTCAAAATGAGAGAAATCCACCGTGTTGTGGCTTAAGACGGCTTCGGAACAGACCGGGACAGGCTGGCGGTAATTCATCTATAGAGGGAGAAACCAACAGAAAACAAAGACATGAAACGATGTTCACCTTTCAAGATGTTGATTAAGGACATGGCGGAAAGGCAGAGAGGCATTCATAGCGCTCATACTGCTAGTGCTCATAGTCCCCCAAGTTTTAAGTCATTCAAGACATGCAGTCCTTGCCGAATGACTACGATGTGGAACGATGCCATGGATGAGATCAAAATAGATCAAAGATCGAATTGACCAGGTGATATCGCGGAGGATAATCTTAAGAAAACAATGATTTGTTTGTCATTGCAAAACTCTACAACATCCATCATTCAGACAGGTCGGATGTAGTTATAATGGCTCAGAGTGGAGTCCCTTCCAAACGATAGGAAAGATCATGACAGTCATGACCCACTAGTCAAATGGGACAGACAGACGAGTCACATCTCCAATCTGCACAATCTGCACTGCTTTGAGGTACAGCTATGGTCACGACAATACCCAAAGCTGCGGCTACCAAAAGGAGCGTATCGAGACATCCACCGAGTGCCGCTTGGGTATTTCTCGTGCTCTCGGTTCTGGGAAGGTTAGACCGAGATGTGACTGTGAAGTATGTGGTCGGTATCGCTCCTGTCCCACTCGGAAGGTAGTTAGACCATGTTAGACCCACCTCACCTCCTTCTTTTCGGATGTAGGACAGAACCCCTAGGGATGAGTCATTTGGGGTCATGAAGGGGATAGCCTAAAGGCTGCCACAGCATGCCTGGGGGCAACGTGCAGCTTTGCAGCTAAGCATCTCTTATACCCTCAACATTAGAAGATCAGCAGCGAAATCCATGTCAACGAACGATCGCTGAAAAAACACCACGCTGCACAGACTCTGCACTCGCTCTCACGACCGAAAGGATCGTGGCCCGAGGTCGTGAGGCGGCGGGTGCGCTGGATATGAACTTCGGCTCGTCCGGCGCCTACTATCGCTGGCCTGCGTATTGCTTCCGGCCGCTGGGCACGACGCGGCCCACCCCGTACGGTGCGGTGCGTGGTACCGTGCGGTGCTACCGGTACGACATGTGTCGGTGGACATGTGTGACATGTTTTATCGTAAGGTGAGTCATGTGAGTCATGTTTGAAGGTGTGAACTGGGGCCGACAGGACGAAGCGGATGCTCTTGGACCCAAAAAGGGCTAGGAATGGGAGTGAGGGTGGGGATGAAGCGCCAGAGAATAGGATGGTGGAGTGTGAGATGGGGTTCCTGACCAAGGACCATCAAAGACTCCAAGAGCATCCAAGATATCCAAGAGCGTTTGCTGTCCCAGCTATACATTCAGATCTTGTTGTCACATGTCTTCACCATGTTTCACCTATTTGCAAGCAAGCGAATCTGACTGCATCATACTGCATCCATGTAGGATCATGTAGGGATTATTGATTGCAACACTTTGGGCCACAGGGAATATCCTTGAGAATTGGTGTACACAGTGCCATGTTTCCGGCTGGTCAGACTGGCCTGTGAGCGCTCCCCCCAGCCACATGATGTCACCTCATCTATCTCCAGACCGGGACCCTGCACGGCCAGTTTGAGCTGATTCTCATGGAGGCCAGTGATCCACTGGTAAGTTTGGAGGCTTTTGCTGAACTGGTGCCCCAAACTTACCAGTGCAATCCAGCAG